CAACCTTTAATTCCATGTTGGGTCAGACGAGAAGGTAGTGAGAGACTATGCAAGATAGGCCCTGTTACCTGTATGTTCAACTGCATTAAATATGAGGGAATTTGCCCCTATTTTACTGGAGCTTATCTTAACCTGCTTATGCCATGGACATAGGCGGGGTGTGTGAGGCTGGGTTAGGTGGAAAGATTTTCTTCAAACCAAATAATCTCATTTTGATGCCACGCAAGAGTGATGTGAATAACTTTGAAAACTAAAATATAATCCTTTTCTCAGACATCTGACTGCGGCAGAATTTAAAGTAGTTTAGGCCAGTGAGTCTGTTTCACAACCAGGAAAATCATGAGGCCTCTTCATTTGCTATTTTAGATGTGGATGGCTCCTTGTTATAACAGTGAATCAATCATTTCATTTCAGGGGATTTTTTTTTATGTTAAAATGGAATAAAAAAAATGAAATGCATCAAGCATTTAGCTTAATTTCCTCTGCCTGTATAAATACGTAATTAAATGTTCCTTTGCTACGTGATGACAGCTCAACATTGGCCCCAAAACAAGATAATATAAAGTGGGATTTTGTAGGATTTTGTTGTCCAAATGAGTATGAATATTTAAAAACATAATTATTATGCCAGATAAATTGTAACTGAACTCCAAAGATCTGGGTCAGAGCCACAAATAAAAATGATTTAGGCTAAATAAAACCTCGCCAGGGCATGGAAAGTATATTTTTTTAAGTCTACATTTTTGTAAATAGTACGTAAACATATACACTATACTCACTATAACTGCTTGTCTCTAAAACACATTTTCTTTGAATATTCTGAATATTTCAGTTTCTTTTTTTCCTCCTTTAGAAACCATGAGCAGCACGAGCAGCATCGAATATACAATCACTTAGTTGTGCTAAAACGATCCTCTTCATGGGCTTGGTCAAGCAGCACAGAGATAAAGTAGTTCAAGTTCACTAATGGCCTACAGGACTACAATCATAGTGCGCCCCCCACTGGCAAACCTTTTGACAATTACACCTCAAATGAAGGCATTCATGTTGCGAGAGCATAATTGGTTTCAGCCGAAATGGGAACAGCGTGCAGAGACACATCTACTACAAAAATAATTAAGAACAAAATGAAATAAAGGGGCTTCTTTTCTCCTCTTCTAACTTAAATATATTTGGAGACGTCTCCGCATTCACTGCTGACCATGAGAGTGTTTTAATTAAGCAGTCCCTGCTGTTATCAGCCTAGGGGTGGGAAATAAGTCTCCAGCAAACATAAACGCGTCTGGACAGGGCGGAAATCATATCACTCAATCTCAATCAATGCCCTATGATTTTAGCACAATAGCGCGTAAAGCGACTTCCCTGCTTTCCTCTCCCACAGTTGTAAAACAGCATCGCGCACGGGGAATGCACGTGGATTTATACAGCATCTGTCCGATAATGAGGCTAAATAACATACTGCGCATTAAAAACACGATATTAAAACAGCAGCTGAGAGGGATTTGTGACACAGACACTATTCCGCCTACAACGCACACGAGGTTTCTGCGCTGTAGACAAGTGGGCATGTAAACACCACTTCCCGGTGTACAAACCGGCTCAAACATCTGGAAATACATTCTAACAACACAACGAAGTACGTGCGTTGTTGTGGTGGAATAGCTTTACGCGATTCACCTGGAAAACTTCTGAGCGGAATGGCAGCAGGAGGCTTGCGCTGCCTTCATATAGGCAAAGGTCCCTGGCCATAAAGCCCATGCATGCCCTTTAATGGCGAAAGAAACCTTGTGGGCTACGTTATACAACACGGTTAACCTACACAAGTTGAAGCTCTCTGTCACGTTGTTTGAAAACTTCCACCAGATGATCCCATAATCAATGTTAAAGAACATGTAGTCTTGGGTATGTTTGCGTTTTTGGTCATTTCACTCAGGACAGCGGTGTGTCCGTGCGTGGCCGTCTCCTACCTATTCAAATTCCCCGAGGAAGTTGCCCTGTGCGTAAGAAAAGCCCGTTGAGAGGAGACAAACAGCTTAAATTAAGTCAAAATGCGATTAATCTCCACTTACGCGAAAACTCCCGTTTGCTCAAGTGCTGGGGTTTGCCTTGCTTGCGGCGAGACATGTTGGTTTAGTGGTGGCTTTTCGGCTGAGTTCACATTGGGAAATCCGTCCCTACAAGGTAGACTCCAAATGAAATATCTTCATTGATGCCTCTGACATCCGAATAGGAAAAAAAGAACTGCAGATCATACAGAGGGTGATGCGTCGCGCGCTACGGGCTGTGCGGACCTCTTCATGACTTTTTCGCAAAGAGAGAGTGATGGGGGTACAGCGATACCCCCCTGAGCTGCAAGTTCAAGTGCGGACGTGACGTTCCTGCGAACTTGAACGTCAGGAGATGGACGGACTGAGACACAGAAAACATGGGCAGGGCGAAGGCGGCCAGTGGGAGGGGGACAAGCCGTAATAAAAACCAATGGACACTCATTATGGACTACCTATGAAGGGAAGGAGGGGGGAAAACAGAAGAGAGGCCCCGAAGACACCAATGGACAGAGGGGATCAAGGGGGCTGGGCTAAGAGAGAGAGAGAGAGAGAGAGGGGGGGGTTGAGTTATCCAAGGAAGTGGAGGAGCAAAGCGCATGAACCAAACAGCGCTGTAGCAGGGATGTGGAGTAATAAACCCAGCTTTACTGCTCCATTCATATTTATTAGTTTATTGTCAGGCTGATATGAATATTAATTTTCTATGTAAATTTACAGCGTAGACTTGAGATTGTGACATGAAGGTGGGATAAAGTGTATTTATTTCAGTGTGATTATGTCGTATATCATTCATTTTTTTGCCATTTCAGTACGATGCAATGTATTTGATTTTGTGGTTGTTGTTTTTAAATGAGATTTAAGCTTTAATGAGGGACTAATGAGGGGAAGCTGTGAGATGCTCCAACACAACTTTCTGAACCGTCTGTGGATGAATGCTAAAGCCTATAAAGTGGATCTCCTTGCTTTGGTTTTTATCCACAGTGCAAATGTTAACACACATAGTGAGATACAAATTAATATTAATATAAAATGATCCAATTGTGGAATCATTGTATTACTAATCAATAAAAATGAGGAAAAAAGGGCTTCTAAAAATAGATTTGAGGCTACATTTAGAATCCAATGTCCTCTGACTTATATCATTATTTGATTTGATGTGTTATTAACCAGCGTGTTAAAGGTGTTAAATCAGATATCTCTCTATGAACAATGCACCTTAGTCTGTATAAAATAAACTATAAAGTGAAACTGAGGTTGGTTTTCTTTGCTTATCTTAATGTTTTCATCTGACAGGTTGTCTATGTGATAGATAAGCAGACACACCTCTTAACAGAAGAGGCTCCAACAGGCCAAATAAAAGCCTAGAACGCATAAAGCCATATGGAGGTATTAGAAAACACATTGCTGAAAGTTACTGCAATGTAATATTATGTTATAGTGTTGAGGTATTGTATGTAAAATACATCTAGCCTATTTAAATGATTTGGCATTGCTGTTGAGTTTTTTATAGTTTTATTGTGATTTTTATAGCCTTTACCGAACAGGAGCACAAGCAGTAAAATCACATGCAACCAGGCAAATAATGTGACATTTGAAACTGGGAGCCAAAAGAGTAAACTAATTGTGACAAAACTCATTTCCACATTGTTTTATGCATAGCTGTAATTCTCCATCTGCTTTGATTGTGTGGTTGTTGTTGTTTTGGCAGAAGCTTGAAAGCATAATGTTCATCTTCCATAGCAGCACAAGAAAAAAATAGCTAAATGTTTTCATCCTTCAGGGACACCACTAATGATAAATGCAACAACGAAGTATGAAATAAATAAATAAAAGGCTAATAACTGCTGTGCTATGGAGGGGTATTTAGCTAAAACGATGCACGTCAGATAGATGAAGGTAATCTCAAGTTCGAGTCTTGTTATAATCATCTTCATTAAGTAAATGTCGAAAATTATACGTATAGGCCTAAAAGCATGTTCTTTTTAATATCTGTTTGGTTTCATATTGTGAACATATAATGCAGAGACAGATGGAGCTCATAAACAACAGTCAGGAGAGATAATTCACACAAACACACCCAGTTATTGGTGAGAAATATACCTGCTACTGGTGTTGGTATTCCAGACAGAGTAACTAGTCGTTTGGTTTGATTTCAGTAGATTTCTTCTTCTTTTTTTTGTATAGTGCGAGTTATAGTTATTTTTGTTGGTGCCATGAACGCCTCATAATTGACCAGGCCCCAAAAGCCATCACAGCTCAATGCTTTGGCGCCATCTAGAGTGTTTTATTACAGATTGACTCCAATACAAATCATTCCGCCAGCCAACAGTCAGACAGAGCATTGAGTTGGGATATACTGTATATACTGTATATATGTATATATTTTGATTTATATATTATTTAATTATATACATATAATTATTTATAATAAAACAGAAAAAATGAGTTTTGTAGAAAAATATTAATACTCAAATATATAATTGATTGAAACTCAAGTTGGCAGTATTGACGATTCTAATACAAACTCTATAGATTTACACTTGCAAGATGCTTGACAGCCAAATAAATAAAACTAATAATAATATAACAGAGGATAGCTTCGTGCTTCTTAATGGCCACACAAACACCATCTTCTGAAGTTCAGAGATGCTGAATCTCTCTCTCACAACAATGTTATTCTGAAAAACGAATAGCAAAACAATATTGCTAATACTACCACCCAATTCCATTTTAAAGTAATCAGCGTGCCTTTATATACCCAGTCTATAATATAATAATACATATATATGACACAATATTTATGACATTAATAATAATATAGGCTTTACGTTAATTATATTGCTTCAAAATCCAAAATCCCCTCTTACTAATCTAGTATGGGTCTCTCGCGTTTACTTTCAGTATTACATAACCTCATGTGCGCTTCCTGTATGAGCACATAGCGCCACCGTGAGGCCACGCCGCAGTGCTGTTGACGGAGCTGGGCTGGGCAGCGGGCTTGCAGCAGCAGCGCTGTTGTTCATAAACCTCATATCGAATGCTGATTGTCCGTAGAGCACCTGGTGAGTTTCATCTCTGTTCCTCTGTTTCATTTGGTATCAGGCCGATCCTGTTGTCTGTCGCCGCCTTCTCTGCACCGAGGATGGAGGCGACGGGGAAATGAGCATCGCTGTGTTTGTGCGACAAAAAAAAAAAAAAAAAAAACCCATACGTCGTCCATAACGGGAGAGCCTTGGCTGCACAACAGCAAACAGCCTCCATAACCTGATTTACAACTACACGTGACTGTTATCCGAAATCTGTCTAAATTAGCCTATATTAGGCTTAAAGAGCGCGCGGACATGGAGAGAGATATCCTGAACGTTAAGGATCAGAACGCTTCAGATGGCAAGTCGGTATAAGCCTTCACGACAGACACACTGTCGCTAAACATGTATTTATACCATAATGTGCGTGGTCCTTGTATATCATAAGGTTCCTGAGATGTTCCTCCCCGATATCACCGCTGCACTGAGGCACGGCCTAGCTCATCTAATGTGCAGGCTCTGTCATTGTCCGACTGGGACACAGCGGCCACCGCCGCTTGCAGGCGCACTTGACGTGTTGTCACTTACAGAGGAGATTGTGCAGATATGTCTTTGGAGAGTGGACGGAGCTGTGCGTGGTCAAGCGTCTAAAAGGGAAATCTGGGTCACTAGAAGCCAGGCCAGTGAAAGGGTTAACCGTCCATTCCGCCATAGGGGGGGGGGGCGGTCGAGTTGATGCTCTAAAAAAACGAGCCCCAGATATGACAAAGTGTGCGTAATTAAATCTCACTAATTCACCCATGGCTTCTCCAGAGCGTGAGTCAGCAAGGCCTGTGTGCTGATGATGCTCCTGCAGACAGAAGGAGGACCGGCTGTTCGTCTCAGTGAAAAGAACTGTTGTGCTGGTTTCGTGTGCATGAGAAGTCTGACAACTGAATGGGAATCATATGAGAGCATCATGGGGGAGCAGAGATGTGGGTTTTCGAGGAAAAACATTATCTTATCCGTCGATTTGCCTCGCTTCCTGCCTCCGTCTTCACCGTGTGTGAGCTATCTCTGACGTTCTGCACAGCATCCAATTAGCTGTCTCTCTCATAATTTAGCCCACAATCATCCTCACTTCCTCCTTCTCTTTGTACAATATCTAACTCCTCCAATTTGTTTTGTGGGCGTCTCTGGTGAGTATTCTAATTTGGGAGTTTATTAGGATGCCTATCTGTAAACTGTTGGTCTTTTTACACTTACAGTTCTTCTCTCATGTTGTTTGCTGCACTACAGCAAAAGATGGGCATGCCAGTGTCCTCGGGTGATACCTGAAATAGAAACTGTGCAGATGACACACACACACAGATGTTTTTTTTCTGTAATTTTGTAAAGCAGCGTGCCTCATTCTCACCTGTTCACACTGACATGTTCATCTGTTTATTGATCATGAATAGACTCATAGATAGATAGATAGATAGATAACACTGTTCCTGTTTTCAGGAGGATGCATTAGGGGTCAAAGGTGAGCTAGTGAGGCAGAGATGAGTCTGACTTCCTGGTTCCTGGTGAGCAGCGGGGGGACGCGTCATCGTCTCCCCAGGGAGATGATCTTCGTGGGGAGGGACGACTGTGAGCTGATGCTGCAGGTACAACACTCCTGCAGACACAAGCCTCTGAGCTGTCACTTCCTCATCTACACTGGATTATTATCTGAAGCGCTGGGATTAGCCTTGATTAGCGTTGATTGACTGGATTCTGTGTGACTCAGTCCCGCAGTGTGGACAAGCAGCACGCGGTCATCAACTATGAGCCAAATACAGACGAACATAAAGTGAAGGACCTGGGCAGCTTAAATGGGGTGAGTGCTTCTGTGTCTTAACTGCTTGATATGTCTGTTTAGAAAAGAAACAATCTCTGATCTCTGAGAGAAAGTACTATAACCAGAGTCGTCATGCATCTGTACATATGACATCAATGTGTATATTGTACACTGACACGAGCAGGCTGTGTTCACATCCATCTGCTGAAGGGGAAAGGTTTCTCTCTTCTCACCGGTGGGATGTTGAAAGTCCAAGCCTCCAGTGCACATCCACTGAGAATGTACGTTTCAATGAAGTAGGTGACAAGTTCCAAACATAACATGTCTGAGGGGGATCTTAAAGGGATCTGCTCAACTTCATGATTCAGCATCTCAACACTACAGAAGATGTTGTTTGTGTGCACTAAGCTGTCTGTTATAACATTGTGTGTTTTATTTTATTTATCAAACATGTTGCAAGTGTAAATCTACAGAGTTTTTTATTGAGTTTATATTTTGATGAGTATTAACATTATTCTACAAAACTCTTTTCAAATGAGCTTAACTTGTCCATGGGAAATACTACGGGAAGACTAGCAAGATGCCAAAATATACAGTGTAAAAATAATAAAACTACGATTCAAAAATAAGTGAAGTTGACGAGGATCCGCCCCAAACTTTTGGTAATCGGTTATTTTCAGTACCAGGTGTTAGAGGCATAATTCAGTTATTACATGAACACTGATGAGATTCGGCGTTCAGCCAGGATCTTAACCCTGTTGTTCTCACTCACTGTCTATTTGTGTTTGCAGACATTTGTAAATGAAGTCAGAATACAGGAGCAAATCTACGTCACGCTGCAAATTGATGACAAATTGAGGTTTGGATACGATATCCTTTGAGTATGATCTTGTGTGTCTGTCAAACCCAGTGGCATGCAGCACAAGGTCAGTGTACATGGACAACACTGTAACTTTATCTGTTCCTAAATAGCTGTGAGTACTCATTGCACGCTGCCTGCTGCATAATAGATACGCTATCAGTGTGTGTGTGTGTGTGTGTATCGCCCTTGCAAAGAGCTCACCGTCTTCTACCTTAACCTGCCTCACATACCAACCTGTTCACTGTGGTGCGAGGGGAGCTGCATATTCCAGAGGAGGCCCTTAAGGTTAGACGGCACCTTGTGCATGTTCATGTGTTAACGGACAAAGTCATTATGTCATCTTTATTGTTTTGCCTCCATCTCTCTAAACTGTCCTCGCCCCCCTCCCGTACATCAGCATGAGAAGTTCAGCAGCCAGCTGCAGCTGAGCCAGAAGAAACCTCCAGAGGGGGAATCGTGTAAATCTGAGGCTAAACTCTCCGAGGCAGCAGCACCAGCGTGTGACGGGGCCTCCGCCAAGCCCCCCGAGGCCAGCAGGGTGGAGGATAAGACGACAGGTGAGAAGGACTGAGGATGCACAGGACACAGGGTGCAACACTGCATGAGCGTATCAAAGACACAGACATCAGTCTCCCGATGACGCTTTCACAAATAACGTATTGTGACGGTTAGTTATGTTCAAAAGTATTTCAGTGCTGAAAAGGTTGATTCATTCAGATTCATTTAAATTTTGACTAATTTATCAATCAAAAAGTGAAAACATTTGCTGGTTCTTGCTTCTCAAATTTGAGTTTTATATCTTTGAAAACTGAAGATGTCTGTGTTTTGGTGAGTTAGTCCGACAACAAAATATTTTTTTTAGAGTTCGTTTTGTTTTTTGGGAAAATCGTGATTGATGTTTCTCAACTTTCTGACCCTAAAATTAAATAAATACATCGATAAACACAAAAAATGTGTGCTTCTAAACCATTAGTAATTGTTTATATCGTCCTTATAGATGCTAAAAGCTGTTTTAGTTGTTGTAAATGCAGTCGTGCCATTCCCATGTAAGATGAAGGTGACTGGTTGTTTTCGCCAGGAGACGGAGCCGTGTTGCACAGAATCACGCCCCTCTACGGTCAGCCTGCCTGGTGGGGAGATAGTGACCCCAACAAGCAGCAACCCGGGAGGCCAGAGGAGAAGAGCTCAGATCGGAAGCGAGAGAAAGCTGATACAGGTATTTACAATACTGCAAAAAACAACTTGTGATTGTGAAATATCTCTATTTTACACAACTTTAAATATGTTCAGTCCTGATGAACATATTGCTACATTGCTTGCTTTAATTCTGACAGACATCAAGAACAGTGCAGAGGTCCCAAAGTCTGCCCCGCAAACATCATCCAATCAGGAGCCTAGCTACTTTGAGATCCCAACCAAGGATACCGCCTCAGCAGGTAAAGTGAGCGGGGAATCCCCCTCACAAGAACTAGAGGCTGGTGCCTCTTCTGCTGCAGAGGCCATCCATGGCCACGCCTCCTTCACCATCGAGTTTGACCCCGGGGCGTCAGCTAAAGTGACCGTCAAAGACCGAGTGGCAAAGGTTGGACCGGAGACCAGGCCGCGTCCTAAAAGGGCTGTCGGGGAGGAGCTGAGTCCCCTTCAGACAGCCATGGTGGCTGCCGAGGTTAAAGTTGCAGACTGGCTGGCCCAGAACGAGCTGCCGTTGGCTCTGAAAGACACGGTTGCAGAGGATGACGGGGAAAGTGTGAAGAGTGATGTGCCCGTACAACTGAAGAGTCTTAAAGGTGTGTGAAGCCATCTGTATTTAACTTAAGTTATGTGTGTGTTTCCTGCTTGTTTGTATCAGTTAAATTCTATTATATTAGCCTCCTTGTCTCCTACATTCTGACCCCATTACCTTCTTCTCCACCTCTCTCATGCCAGGCAGTAAACATGAGGACGGTACTCAGAGTGACTCAGAGAACGCACTCGGAGAGCAGCGCAGGGCCGCAGCAATGGAGCAACGCTCCTGGGGGCTGTGGGGCGGAGCAGGGATGAAGATCAGAGAGGGTCGCGCTAACGTACCAGAGGGGCTCTTCGCAGAGGAGGACAGCCCCGCTCGGCGTCGCAAAACTTCGACTTCCAAATTGGCAAGTGGGTTCGTGGAGAGGCGACGTGGAGAGGCACCACATCAGCAGAGTGGCCGTGATGAGTGCTATCACCATGGGGATGATTATAGTGACAGAGGGACCTATACCATTGAGCTGGAGAATGGAGATCATGAGGAGGAAGAGGCTAGGAAAATGATTGACAAGGTGGGGAAGAAGAACCGTATAATAAAGCCCCTTGTCTAGAATAAGTTGGGTTCCGATTATATCATAGAATGATCATTTTCATACATGTATGCGTACGCTTGTTTACTTTTGCATGTGTCTATGTTGCAGGTGTTTGGTGTGGATGAGCAGGAGGCTGTGTGTGTGTCCAGGTTGGGGGTTGCCGACCAAAGAGAGAGGCTCACCTCCCAGAGGTCTGGTATGGGAGACAGAGGAAAACCTGGACGCATGGAGACAGAGGTGCAAAAACCTAAAAGCGTTTCAATTCAAGCTTGACAGGTGTCTAAAGACTATATTTGATCTTACATGCTTTCATTGTGCAGGTACTATCTGAGCAGCTGATGGTGGGTGGTCCTCGCTGGGTCTCGCAGTGGGCTACTCTGGCTGCCAGTCACATTAGGACAGACCCTGAGGGATCAGGAGGGGAGAGTCACATCATGGTCACAGAAGACAGAGGTACACAAACATTTTCATTTAGTAGAAATAGAATCGCTGAACCAAAACCTCAACACCAGTGCATCAACTCTACCAGCATACCACCCACCATTGATATGTAACGCCCATTTATCAGAGGATCCACTTTACTAACAATAGTTAGTGTTTTTTCTCTACTTTCAGCTGAAATAAGTGAGTCCAGCCACTCAGCCTCCTTTGCCTCGTCTGGATACACAGAGCGTAAAAGGAGAACCCTGCCCCAGCTCCCTGGTGAGGAGCTCGCCCTCGGAAGGAGGACCCCAGGCGCAGGCCTGCTTACAGATATGGGGGAGAAACAGGACACAGAGCTACAGGAGAAGGAGAGTCAGGAGGAGAAGATGGCCAGGGGAAAGAATCGCTCCAGTCATGGCACTGGAGGTGTGGGCAGTCACGGTGGTAGCCCCAGTCGCTCCTCACCAGCCAAGTCGCAGGACAGTGCTGGCGGGAGATCAGGCCAGTCAGGTGTGTTGGCCAAGCTCCCCCCTCGTCCACTGACCAGCGGGGAAAAAAGAATGGAGGAGGTGCGGAGGAGGAAAAAGGAAGAGGAGAAGGCCAGGGAAAGTAGTGGGAAACCTTTGTTGAGGCAGGAGAGCTTTACTGTGGAGAAACCAAGCTCCAACGTGCCCATTGACCTCAGACCTCGTATCGATGGGCTCACGGGCTGCAGAACTCAGAGTAGGGAGACTGGCATTGACAGTGCCGCACTGCAGAAGGACTCGGACGCTGTGGCAGCCTTTTTAGAGACGACCGTTTCAGACCAAGGTGATCCACCAAGTCAGTCCATTGAAGGCTCCATCTCGCCGGAGTCAGACGTGGACACAACCAGCACAGTAAGCCAGGCTGACGGAGCGAGAAAAGTCATCCAGAAACGGCGGACTCTTGCAGGACAGCAGAAGGAGAGAACGGTAGTGTGCTCGTCGGGGAAGGGCCCCGCCTGGAGCAGAGAGACCCAGGACAGGAGGGTCAAGACCAGGGCATCTGGTCCTCCGCAGCCCAGTCGCCCCTGGACTTCCCAGGACCTCACTGATGATGACGTCAACTCCAACTCACTCCTCTCTGACTCCCAGCACACCTCTACACGGGAGTCTAGAAGCTCAAACACCAGAGCCCAGACGGGGTGCACAACTGTGGGGGCTAGCACCAAGTCTAGTCGGGCTAAAACCTCCCAGGCCCCAACGTCTACTGCAGCCAGTAAAACCACGAATGCTCCCAAGCCCAGGCCCACCAGGGCGTCCCTGCTGAGGCGAGCCCGGCTGGGGGACTCCTCAGACACTGAAGCAGCTGAGCTCGACCGGATGTCGGTAGCCTCGGAGGCCTCCACCGCTAGTTCCACATCCAGGACAGGCATGGCAAGAAGAGGGATGTCCAGGATAGTGGCTCTGGCACAGCCGAGGAGGCCGAGGATGGGCTCCCCGTCAGCCCAGAGTGACTCGGAGGCCACTGTGACAAGGAGTAGGGGTCTAGGGGCCCGGAGCGCTGCAGGTGATTATGCCATCAGACAAGGACTGAGAGGATCCAATGTGACCTCAGTGTCTGGACCCAGAGCCAGGGCTAACAGCGCCTCCAAGCTGCCCGACAAGAATAAAGGCACCTCCTCCTATGGACATGTCCCACCTGCATGTAAGTAGTTACACAGTAAACCATTTTCTTTCAGGTGAAATGGAAATAGTGTTTCCTTTCATGCATTCTGTTCTTTCCGTGTTATGCACAGCCTGTCTAAACAGTCTAATGATCGTGTGTAATGTGAAAGGATTCGCTTGTAGTGACGAATCCACAGAAAAGGATCACCCTCGGTTTTTAGCATCTTTCAGTGCTTTGTTTTGTTTTGGGCTACCTCACCGAAGCAAACAGCAGACAGACAGAGTTAGTGACTAGCTAGTGAACATCGAGCAGCATTTAGAAGTTATAGACCTAGATATTGATCTCACCAGTTAGTGGAGACCAGAACAGAGCTAAAGGGAGAGTGAATATTGACTTCAATATGTCAGGTTGCCAGAAAGGTGGCTCCAAATGAATACTAATATTGCTATGTGTCTGCAAGCTCTGTAAATAGGCAACTGTTTTCTAACCCTTTCGCCATATCAACCTTAACTTCCATTCTTTCCTGACATTAGCTGGCACTCGGTGGCGCCGCGCGCCTGTGGAGTATGCCTCCACGTCGGAGGACGAGTATGGCTCAAACCGCCACATAGCCAAGCAGAGCCACGCACGCCCGTTCCCCTCCACTCGGGTAGCCCAGCTGGGAGGTTCAGCCCCAGCAACTCCTAATGCTGCAGGCCTGTCTGCCCTGAGGCAGAACTCCAAGGAACAGGACGAGTATATGAGAGACTGGACAGCGCACAGCGAGGAGATAGCCAGGTACGTGGCTGAGAGGTGCTCAGAAAGATGTATTTAACATATATCAGATGGTGATTTCATATTTGTGTTTGTCACATTAGGATTAGCCAAGACCTAGCCAAAGACCTAGCCATGCTTGCCAGAGAAATTCATGATGTGGCCGGGGAGATCGACTCAGTCAGCCCTGCAGCCACTGACCCTGGAGTTCCGGTAGTCAACGCCTTACTACATTTATATTTCTATCTGCCAGATTAGACAACTACAAAATATCAAGATATGTATTTATTTTCTGCTAATCAGATGCAGGAGCGTGTATTTGATGGCAGCTTGAACCTGAGCGGTCCCTCTGCAGAGCCCAGCAGCGGTGTAGGAACCAACGGGCGGTCTGTGGAGCTTCGACCCCGGGGCTCCGGTGGACAGAGCTCCCGCTCCATCCGCCGACAGACATGGAACAGAGAGGATGTTAGTCCCTGTTCTAATATCAAACAATGCTCAAACTATACAGGCAATCTGTGTACCAACAAGGATATTCCAGAGTTTGAATCTTGCACGTGATTCTCTTTTAAGTCTTTATTTAAAGTACGAGTGAGTAGAAATACTCTGTGTTAGTGTAAGCACACCTATAGACTTTATTTCCCACCTCCACAGCAGTTTACTGGTGGAGCATACTGTACGTTTGTTGACAAATTGTGTAGCACATCAACTTGTCAGTGTGTACCACAGTGTGCCACTAGAGGGAGCTCCCTTCATGCCAACAACCGTACAGTCGCCCCAAAACAGACAAACTGAGCTGATGAGACAGAATATGATTGTAAATGCAAATATAGTCAAAGCTATAATTAAGCTAAATTGCACATAATTTTTCACTTTCATTCATGGTATTGTTTGATTAAAAAGTGGCATGTTTGTTTGTTTTGTTATCAGGCGGTGTTGGACAGTTTACTGTTAGCATCTGTTACTCAGCTCTCGACAAGGATTCGTCAGTCTGTCGACAAAACGTCCTGCAAAATCAGGTGAGCATCATGTTACGTCCTGTGGTTGCATCACTAAACAGGACTGTGCTGCTGCTGTAAATAAAATGCTCGTTATACTGAGGAATGGACGGATGCAGGAAAGAGTTGCTGTTGTTAGGACTCCTGTGCGTGTTTGATGTCAGAAATAGGCCAAGCAACACAATTTGAGTGGCACATCACAACGGTTTACACTGACAACCGGCTGAACTTCGTGCTAATTATCTCACGCGGGATGACAACTCATTCCCACAATCTACAGAATGAGATCACTCTAACAGTCAACTAATACTTCTATCAAAAAGTATTTAAAGATATGCATGTATTTCTTACTTTGATCTGTTTTGTATCTGCTCGGCCTCCAGGATCCTCTTCAAGGATAAAGAACGAAAATGGGAAGAGATTGAGAACAAGCTGCAGGCTGAGCGTGACTCCTTACTCCTCAAGAGCTCCAACAAGGTGACGAGCACACCCGCTCCTCAGCATGTCTGTGTTATCTGCTGAAGGCCCGTGAAGTAGACGACACAGTGATATTTGTTAGCCACGTTTGCAGCATCCACCTTTTGACTGAAATATCTCAGTTGGATTGCCATAAAATTTGGTTCAGACATTTACTCTCCCCTAAGGTCGAATCGTATTTACTGTGGTTATCACTCGACCTTTCCTCCAGCGCCAGAAAGTCCAAAAAGGTTTTTGGGGAATGTGTAGGGAGGGTTTCGGTAATCGCTCAAAATATTGTGTTTGAAAAAAAAGAAAAACGTGAAAACCATTTTAAAGTCACGCCTGAATGATGATTTGGTATATACGGCTGGTAATAAAGTAAGATTTACAACTAACACTTTATATATTAGACTCTAATGTGCTGAAGGATGATACACAATATTCACTGAACAAAATCTGTTCAAACGTTATGTTTTCAAGTGTAAAGAATTGTATTGTGCCCGTTGATTGAGAAGCGTTTAGTACCCAGACAGATTCATTTCAGGGAAGTCTAATCAGCTTAGTATTTGCTGTTTGGCATTAGTTTGGCATAAATTAATACAAAAAGACAGACACTGAAAGGCCCTTTTATATGGCTACAGTAATGAATTATTTTGCTTCAGTATTTGTGTATGTCAATAATGCATTAGCTTTTCAAAGGGTGAGATTAATGTCATACAGTTTTAAATCCACTCCTTCTCCTCTCTCTGTAATCGTACAAAGCACACGATAACTGATTACTTACAGGAGCAATCATAGTGAGTGCTGACAGCTTGATTTGATCCCACAGACAGCTGTACATCAAAGACACTTCGGTCGTGCACATACCATTTAGATGACCTCGCTAATTCCCTTTTCGGAGGGCAGAGCACACCAAATATGGTTGTTTTGATGGAGAAAGAAGACCTTTGCAGGTGCAAAAAGTTAAGAGTCCACAAAACTTCAGCCTCTCTCGGGGGCAGCCTCATAAATCCTGCCTTTAACCCGGCCTGGCCTCAAGTGAACCCCTGAAGAGAAATGTCTGTCCACCACAGTCAAAGGGCTCGTAAAGCATTACTGAGCGTACGTGGCACCACTCCCAACTTATTCCTGCAACGAAGAGATGAATGGAGTTGATTTATTTGGTGTATGAACTTTCCCTTACTTAATCAAATCAACCAATTTAAACGTTTAATTTATGTTCTCTTTAAAGGAGATTTCAACCATTCTTCAAGACCTGAGGAGAGTAGAGAGACAACTGCTCGGTATGGATGTGATGCTTTTCTTTAGTTTTTAGGGAAATATCACACGTCAAATTACAAGTGTGTGTAGTTTGAACTGTCTGGAGCTGTGTTCAATTCAATAGTACTCATTTCAAATGTTTGTCCTGCGCCAATCTGACAGTAATCGACATGATGGTGGACCCAGACGGCACCCTGGATGCCCTGTCCAATCTGGGCCTGACCAGCCCTCTGACTGAGCAGAAGATGGGCCCTGGGACTCAGCAGGGCTCGTCGGTGTTGCACCCTGGAGCTGAAGCTTCCTCCGGCACAGTCTCCAGGCCTGAAGGACGGGCCACTGAATCCTCCGGGCCTTTAGACCACGCAGAGCGAGACCCAGGGCCCCAACAGGGCCCTAGATCCTACAACTGATACTCCAAGGACATAGTTCAGTGTGCATCCTTTCTGTTGGACATGTCCTGAAGCTGTGAGGTAAGAACATTTAGAGGTATTTGGTATCAGACGAAGGAGGAGAATGATGCCTATTAGGTGGAAGAGCCTGACTGCGTAAATGTACTTCAAATTGACTCGTGACGGGACTTTATTAAAGTCCAACACTACCAAATAGCAGCTCTCGTCAGATATACAAACGAAAACGTAACAGCATTATAAAGAAGCTATGAGATAATATACTGTGTGTTTGTGTTGCAGCTCATTCTTATTATCTGTTATCCTTAAAAACATTTGAGAAAAAAACCTGATGTAAAAGATGAGAAGATTCAACGTTAAAGATAAGACACATTAAACACATTTATGTTTTTATTACAAGCCTTGAAATCTTTCTGTTCCAATCTTAAGTCCAATGCAGAAATCCAAACTAGAAAGGTGCAAAGCTGTCAAAAAAAGGATTCAGCGGAGGTGTATGTCAAGTGTTCTTCTATCCTGCCATAGAATTATTTATTAAAATGAATATATTGTTGGCCTGTTGCGATTGCAATCCCTAAACCTGCCTCAGTAATGATTTTCACCAGAAAAGGCCACGCTGCTTATTTCGTGGGGAAAGAACTGGGTCTGTACAGTATGTACCAGTGTAAATGTTTATTATAGTTCAATTAAACACTCCCATCCATGCCTTTTTTCCTGTGGCGATGTCATTTAAAACCAGTGTATCAAAGATAGACCGTGTTTGTTAAGAAACTATAAAATCAAATGTAGCCCCCAACAGGTTTTACTCTTCCAAATGTATTTTGTCACAAGTGCCCCGGATCAAATAATCATTACAGTTGGAGATGAGAAATGTTAGAGTGTACTGGAGCTGGAGGTGAACTTTGTTTTGCACATTTCAAAGCCGACATATGTTATTATTCATCTCTGAGTGACCGGGACACGACGTTCCCCCACGACGCTCCTCTATCGTGTTGTTGTCCTCGACTAGAAGCAAAGCAGGGTGAAAGTCGGCCGGCTGTAGACGAACAGTTTGTCAAATTATTTTCTGATTGCAAACAAGATGTTGTGTTTGAACCAGCGTAGACGGGGGGGGCTACCTCCAAGTCCTGCAGCTGCGTATTCCTGTTAACGATGCAATGAAAGGATGGACAGTGTAATGACTGTAGGTTTCCCAGTGTCTTGCCTCATACCAATGTTTACACATGAATGTAACCTGATCAAAACTGATGGAACATTTTAGCCAAAACGACTTGAATACAGATTGATAATTGCATTTTGTGCTCAGCACCGACTGTAATTTCTCTTTTATTCTGTTTGAGCATTTGGAGAATTTTTGTTGAGATGTTTTGTATGAAGTTTTTTTTTTTCTTTGTAATGATGTGTTGACCTTGCAATACCGGTGTATTGTTTGTCTCATTTTCAATAAAATGCATGATAATCATGAGCTATTTTATTTCTTGTTTTTTTCACAGTTTTGATCAAATGTGAGCTGAAATTGATTTTGACAGCGGTGGAAAGTAACTAAGGACGTTTAAGTACTGTGCTTAGTTTCAAGGTTCTTACTCGAGTATTTACATTGTTTACCACTTTACACTACTGCTCCAGCAAGCTGAAAGCTTCACAGTCATTGGTGTCTGCTGGGTGTGTAAACAGGCAACTGGTTACTAAAAAATTCACTAAACTGTTGCGTTTACAACTCGTCGCTGCCCCCAAGTGGACAGAAAAGATAGTGCAGAGTAAAAAAATCCCATTTTGGTAACTGGCATTGTGGTACATATATTAAAAGTATTTCAGCTCTTCTTCAACATTCAAAAGGAAAAAAGGTGTTGAATAAAGTAAGATGAAATTGTCTCAGACATGAGGTCAAACTTGATTCGTCTCGCTCTAAAAAGCTGAGTACTACTTCATCTTCATCACCCCAGAATCCCCTTTTGGCAGCCATCATCCAAAGCTACGACCTCCTAGATCCTTCTTCCACAAGAGGCCCAGTCTCCCCCCTCCCTTCTGGCCTCTTCCTCATTCAGAGGCAAGTATACGTACAACAAATTAGGTTCTTAGAGGCCTCACTGCCAGAGCCACTGCACTGCTAATTTTATGTCTCCAGCTATTCTGCTCTACTTCCTTAATAATAATAATAATCCTTAAAGCTGTGTCAGGGTTTTTCTCCCTTGCGAACAACATTCACCGCGGCTGCTGGTGCACATCAGTGCTTCTGCAGGTGTTCCTCCTGAGAGGGAACCGTTTGGCTGAATTGTTCCCACTTAGGTTTAGCAGGTTCCCTGTAGATTTCATTGCCGCACTCACACTGTTTGCATTTATTGCATATAAATAAAATATTCATATCACTGCAGCATTTTTGGTTTCGAGCTGTCGGTCTGGACCTCCTTAACAATGATGTGTTTATTTGCTCATGTAGACAAATTAAAAATTAAAACGAATATAGGATGTTTGCCAGGTTATGCACAGCATGTGCCCTGTGTACTACTCAGTGTAATTTGAACTGTCATTGATGATTTAGCACCTATGCGGCCTCGGAGTGAATATGATGTATGATGCTGCGCTGTGTGCATGCAGGATACTGGAAGTATTTACATATTCTGCACCCCCTCATTGATGCAACTTCATAACTTATGGGGAGGAGAACAACAGGTTAAGGCAGAAAATGAGTTGTCAGCCGATTGAATCCACTTTATGGTCATGCAGTAGCAGTTCACAAACACTATTAAGTAGTTACAGTCCATTTGACCTTTACTGTTGAAAAGCTGAAATAGTTATAGTTCAACACTTTGGTAACAAAAGCTTCCTACCAGCACCTCACAAGCTCTTACATTTGCATGTTATATCTGGTTTCTGTACAAAAACAAAAGTATTGCAGCAATACTGGATCAGTGGAATAGTGTTGCTAACCTTCATGCTAAGCTAAACTAATTGGCTGCTGGCTCTGCACTTCTATTTCCTGGACAGATATGAAGTAAACATGAGAACGGTATCAGTCTGCTCGTGTAACTCTCCACACACAAAAAGGAAATAAGTAAATATTTATACTTGAAAAGCTGATTTAATCAATTGAAAAGGCTACATGTATATCTGGAAGTATTGACACAGTGGCCACAGAGGGGTTATGTTCTGAATTAGATCAGTGCCAAGTGCCATTTTTCTTGCACCAGCACCTTTTTGTACCCATAATGTAAATTGTGCTTGCTGGAAAAATCTTCAGTCACCTTGTTTGTGTTTGTGTGTGTGTGTGTGTGTGTGTGTGTGTGTGTGTGTGTGTGTGTGTGTGTGTGTGTGCCACTTTTATAGCAGGCAGATGGCGTCTCTAGAGACCTGTGCAAAAGGTTTCTTAAGGTGAGGCTACAGTGCTTCCGGACRTCTCTGCCAGGATCAGTATTCTGTATGTGAGGTGTAAATGGGAGAGATTATATTTGATACAGCGTGTGTGTGTGTGTGTGTGTGTGTGTGTGTGTGTGTGTGTGTGTGTGTGTGTGTGTGTGTGTGTCGTCATGTCTGATACTGTCCACACACTTTTCTCTATCAGATTACTCTCTTTCACTGTCTGCTTTCTTCCCGTCTTGTCCAGCGCAGCAAGTCCTGTTGCACCTATAGGCCCCGTCTAGAAGCCCAACTGCATACACACACACAGAAGGACACGCGCACACACCCTCCCTAACAAGTGTGTGAGAGTGTGTGGACTCATTGCTGCTCAAACAGACGCACTGTAGTTCAGACGGCACAGAGACCAATAGTGGCTGATTCAGCTACTGAATGATAGATAGCAAAGAGAAGCAAGCAGATGGGACTGACAGCCTTTGTGCGCTTGGCTGTGAGTGTGTGTGTCTGTGTGTGTGTGTGTGTGTGTGTGTGTGTGTGTGTGTGCATCAGACTGTCTGTACCCCAGCAGACAGCAGCACACAGGTCATCAATGGAACTGTCAGATGATCCAGCTCGAGGGGGCAAGAGGAGGCTCCCCCAGCGCTCCTGTCCTGTGTGTCCTAAATGAGAAGCAGCAGCTACAGTGCTGTCCAGCAGCAGGGCTCCTCCGCATCCATCTGTATTTGTTGCAGAGAGCTGCTGGAACAGGTGAGATAACTGTCAGGTACCTCTTAAACATCATACCACGAATTATTTACCTGTAAATCTGCCTTTTGAAGAGGAAGAGGTGCAGGTTAAGATCAAGGAAGTTGAAAAGGGCCATGTGACAAAAACTTCTAGAAGTATCTCTAGTGCATAAAACTATATTCAGAGGAATTTATTCACACATGCCACATTGTCCGATATGCAACATGGTATTTTGTGAGCTCGGGAGGCATTAGTTTCGTTCACTGGAAACCCATTAATTCTGCTTGTCCGTGGTGTATTAGCCTCAGCTCTGGAGAATTGCAGCTGGAGAAGTGTGCAATTGAGCTCTGATGCCTCCAATGACAAATGATTACCACTGCTGCCACACACCCAGTACACACCTACGTACACAAAGAGATGCACACCAAGAATCCTACAATCCTAACTAGTATGTACTGTATATAGAATATTTACAGCTGGTCTATGGTCTGTGATAAAATCAGCTCATGTGCACAACTGCACACGGGCTCCGGCACACTAAGTTCACACTAGCGACACACTTCCCATGCACCTATCCAAAGGCTGGAAACTTTGAAATTACAGTAATAACTCGCGATTGAGACCATAAACTCATGTTTTCAATGTTTACTGAGGTAATAAATCAAGCGAGAAGTCGAGTCTTTTCTCTTAGACTTCCATACAATCAGACTTATTTTTGCAGCCAGAGGAGTCGCCCCGTGCTGGTCGGTAGAGATAGAGCTAGTTTAAGACACTTCCGCATTGGCTTCACTCTTAAGAACCGGAGGTTGCCCCTTGGTCTGCTCAGGGCCTACGCGTACAATGATGACGAAATTTAACATTCCCATACTTTTATACAAACCTTTGGCTTTAGAGAGTGTACTCCGCTGATTATTGCAATCAAAACGTAGCTGCCTCTGAACCTAAAGTGAGGTGAACTTACCCAGGAGTGAGTTACAGTTGCAGAGGCGAAGCTAGTAGATCCGGCACTCTGCTGTGGACAAACGCACTGATGGGGCTTTCTGTACAACACAACCTAACGGGGTGACTTCTTACTGCTGGATCCCTATTTGCACCCTATCCACAGTCCCTTTGGCATTTGTCCCAGCTGTCTCCCGTTGCATTGCGCCCAGTCAGCCTTCACGTCCTGTGCACACATGGAGACCTGCTGTTGAACCTTTGGTGTGAAGGTGAAACACCTTTATTGAGGCGTCCTTCATTGACACTCACAGGGCTGTGTTTGGATAGGTTGAAAGAACGTCATCAAACCTTACTAAAATGGCAAAGACAAGACACCTTGTTCTTTCACCACCAGACACTGTGTGCATGAATATACCTTCACCTGGTTTAGGCTATTTGCTAATCTCAATGTCCCTTGCAGTGGGGCTCTTAAAGATGAAGTCTGTTTTAAATTGGTCTCTTGTGTTGGAGAACTGTTCTGTACATCATCAGATAATGGAGCCCTGTACGGAGAGTCAGGAGGGAATAGGAATAACTCTTAACTGCTCTCCTGCAAAGAGCGCCGCTTGAGAAGTGTACAGATTGCAAAGAGCTCTTAAAGCTCTTCAATATAACGGAGAAGAAAATGGACTGGTAGGCGTTTCATACATTAGTATTCAATGTTGCATCACGGTGGTGACTGTACAGTTGGTAAATTGTTTATGTCAACAGTTTCTTGGTGTGACCGCTGCTGTTAAGCCGGGGATCTCGTCTGTGGTTCTGTCTCAGTTAATGGTCAGTGCTCATGATGGTCAGGGAAACAGTGAGAACCCCTTCCTGTTTGAATGTTGTTCTGACCCTATATCTGCAGCTTTGGGAGCATTCACCTCTCCTGGGAAATGGTCCAAACTTTTCTGTCTCTTCTGTCTCACTTCTTGCTCTCTCTTCTTCGCTTACAGACAGGCTGACGTGCAGAGGGCACCTGGCACAGACAAGCACAGCAGGTGTCACTGCTGTGACTTTGTTCCTTGTTGCTACTGATATCTCTCTGGAATCTCACACAGTGCTCCACAAGTCCTTATAATTAAAAATCATATACTCTACATTGTTCATGAGTATGCCAATGAGATAAATTAAGCTTTTTCAAGCAGTGTAATTACTGTGCAATTTGAATATACTGAATATAATAAGACTACTGCTGCATTCACATGGAATAATAATAATAATAATAGAATAGTAGGGATGCACCGATACCATGTACAAGTACTTACATTTGAGTACTTGACGATACCGAGTACCGATATGAATACTTAATGAAATCATTACAGTTAACAATGACTTTGAAAACATGTTTTATGTTTGTCACTTTCTAACAGTAACAAATTAAATACAGAACATGATGCTGTTGTTGTCATTTTATTGTGTTTTCCGGATAAAAACAGAGCGTAGTTCTTTGCAGTAGGGATGTTGAACTGTGCCATCAATTTAAGCTGCTATGAGGAACTTTTAACTGATTAGGAACCAATTTAACGCTGATGCGTCTTTGTGACCTACATGAGTAAGACCATCAGCGAGATGATTGGCTGGGTGGCTAACTAGGCTCAACTGACGGAAGGATAACGTCACTCTTCCGTTGTGGTATCGGGTGCAGTTGTACCGGAGTAGTTTCACAAGTACTGTGTCTCAGTTGTTTTTATTTTCTGCCTCTCAGTCCCGTCTCCAGCCACGGCCCACGGCCCCTGCACTGTCATTCCCCATCCATCCACCAATAATTGATATCATTTAAACTGATAAGTTATTTAACAATTAAAGCTGTCATGAATGGGTATATACTTTTCGATCACACTTTGGCTCTCTGTGATGTTTTCCATGTTTACCGCCTTAGTTGAACATGCTAGCATGCTAACATGTTCACAACAACAATGCTAATATGCTGATGTTTAGCGGTACATTGGTTGCTACATTCACCATTTGCCAGTTAGCACTATAGACAAAGAACACCTGAGGCTGATGGAAATGTCAGTTTTGCAGGCATTTGGTCTTCAAAGTATTGGACAAATTCGAATTTGCAGCTGATAATTGCACTTATTTGTATAATCCTTCCTGAGGGAAACATGAATATACCAAATGGCATAGCAAACCATCCAGTAGTCTGAGTAGAAAACTTTTCAAGAACTCTCCTCGTATCATTCCCTCATTACTCTCTCGTCCCCCATTAGGTCCTCCCTTTACTCCCTGGACAGTGTGGGACTCATAAACACAACAGCAGCTTGCCTGCAGTCAGCAGCATATGTTGTTTTCTGCTGTTAGGCGATGCTATAATCCTCTGTGAGAAAAGGGCAAATACAATGGGGGAAGAAAGTGTTTAATATTTCATCTCCCCCCACCGAGGCCCTGTAATGTACTTCTGTGCCAGAGGAAGAGGCAGAGTTTTAGATTTCAAGGTATATACACAGTGGAAGTGAAACATGAATGAGTGCTCTGGAATCTGGTGCATTAATGAAAAGCACACTTATTACACCGATTTAAACACAGTGGAGATTAAAGCAGACAATGCTGCTGATTTATGAGTTATTAATGGGAGGTATAGGACTTTTTCTTTAGTCTACACTGGGCAGAACTGTGACGTATGTGTGTGTGTGTGTGTGTGTGTGTGTGTGTCCTACCTAATGAGTTCACAACAATTTGAGAGTTTTGCAGCAGCTGTCTTACACACACATGCCATCGGATCACCAGTGGCATGTTTCAGCATCCCTCTCCTCTAAGCCCAACTGCATTCTGTCAGATGAGTTTTGTTCACAAGGCAGATAAAAGAGGAAGATAAAGAGGAAGAGTAGGAGGAGGAAGAGGGTTGCTGGGGCTCGGAGCTTCAGCTCTGTATTGGCTGTTTGAACGAGAGGGGTTGGGTCTTTCTCCATCTCTCTCACCACCTCCACCGAGAAGCAGAGAGTGAGCAGCACGGGTATAGGCAGCTCACACACACACACACACACACACACACAGCCAGAGGCTGGAAGAAGCATGTCAGGACATGGGACGGACCAGGATTCGAGGTGCACATACACATACCTTCCAGGACAGTGAGGAACCAGCAGGATGAAGACGGTGGCAAAGAGTGAAGACATCAGAGCAGGACAGGCTACGAGTGGGTGATGAAGACAGAGAGACAGACGGACAAAGATGTGTGACTGAGCTGCAGTGTCCCCACCTGTTAGAGTGCTGCTCTCATGGCGGGACCGACCACACAGCAGGAGCCCTTGAAGGTGATGTTTCCTGCCCTCAACTACACTCTGCATCTATTTAACATGTGATATTACTCTTAATTTGTCTGTTTGTGGGATTTTAGTGCATGTTTTTCTTAAGTTTTTCTTGCTGGCTTCCATAACATTATTTATTCATTGATTGATTTGGATGAAGCCCTAAATTCATTCCATGGGTTCTTCAATTATCCAGTAAAACACATGCATGTAAAATAAACCCAGTTAGGGCTGTGACTTTACAGTTTCATTATCAATTCATTTAGAAATTGTTTCTTTGAATATAATCAATTAAGTAGTCTGTCAAATGTCAGGAAATCATATATATCACAAATGTCCCAGTGCCCAAGAGGCCATCTTCAAATTCCTCATAGAAATTAAATTTACAATGATATAAAACAGAGAAAAGAAGAAAATACATTGGGAAGCTGGAACCAGCAAATATTTGCCATTTGGCTTCATAAATTATATATTTGATTATATTGATTATCAAAATTGTTGGCAATAACTTTTCAATTAATGATTCAGTCTATGAAGTGTCAGAGAATTGTGCAGAAAATGACCATCCCAATGTCCCAGTGCGTAAGGGGAGGTCTTACAATAGCACAAAACTCAAATTAATTTAATGCACAATGATATAAAACAGATAAAAGAAGGAAATCCCTACATTTTCTAATATTTGGCATTTTTGCTCGATAAATGAAAGTGATCCAAAACAGCTCTGGAAACCTATTGTGTGTGTTTTAATGAAGGGAATATTGTATCTCACTGCATCAACTGTAAGTTTTCATTCTGTATCATGAGTTTATATTTCCGAGCAGCCATGTACACATCCACAAGTCAAGCATGGTCCTCGACTCTGCTAAATGTGATGAAGAGCTCAGTGGTCTCAGTGGACAGCAGATGGGGTGTGAGGTGTATCCGGTCTTTCAGCCTCATTGCCTGAGACAGACAGTGTGGGGAAGAGTGGGCAATCAAGTTGACAAACACCCTCCGACCCCCATCTTCTCTCTGATGCTGTGTGTTCTTTCTTTTGTTTTATCGTACAATTTATTTAAAAATATGAAGTTGTAGCTGGGAGACGTCTTTTAGAGACTACTGCTCATGCTGCCAAACTAATCAGTGGTATACGATTCATTTGATTGATTGAACACAACAAAAGAGAATGTATAATGTGATGCGATGACTGCTTACAAAACTGATACAGCCAAACAAGGCAGGGAATGAGATGGTGAAAATCTGTGTTCGTAAGCGAAACAGAAGTGCCGAACTGCACTTTTAAAACAATGGAAATCAAGACTCCTCGGGCTGGATGAGGGCAACAAGGCTGCTACTTCATAACCACTGAGCCCACTGAACCCAACCCTTATTACAAGTATACCATATAATGCCGCACACATACATGCACACTAATATAGACTTTGATATTGCTTGTCATAAAAGCGACACTGAGCGTGCCCCTGCTGGCCCAGAGGTCATAAAATCCCCTTCAGCTGGGGATTCGCTTCAACAACAAAGCAGACAGTACACAGAAAAGCATGAACCAGAGTCTCCAGTATTCCTTATAGCTGGGCTTTAGTGTGCATCAGCCTTCAGCCTTCAGCGTTACACTTCACTTGTCCTCTGCTCCGTTGCATAAAGTAGGATTTGTGAAGCTGAGGGGGTTTCGCTCCAGAGCTTTGAATTTCTCTGCAGCCAAGTTGTCAAATCAAGAGTTTCTACAGTCAGGAGAAGACAGATATCCAAACCGCTATTCAATGATATTGAATGACAAAATTAACATTTAATGACTGATCATTATCTTTTCGTACAACACCCAAAACTTAACTGTCATGTCAACGGCTTCACTGTGAGTTGTGACCCTGTTATTACAATAGCAGAAGGGTCCTACAGTGCTGCAGATCATGCTCTTGTCTGTGCCTAACTCACCTTCCAGACCCAGCAGAAGTGCATTGCCATCTTTGCCCTTCTCTGCTGCTTTGCTGTGGTGGTGGCGCTGATCTTCTCATCAGTGGACATTTGGGGGGACGATGAGGACGGTATCACAGAGGAAAACTGCAGCAGAGACTGCAGGTAAGATGCTCTGCAACTGCATCAAATGTTATGCAGGAGAAGCAGAGGTATCATCTTTTTTTATTCCACGCATTTTTATTTCCTTCGTCGAAACCTACATTACCCAGAATGCAACTAGACTGTCAACAATTTGGTCAGAGATTCTCATATGTTGTGCTAGTGGCAGCTTTTGTAGCCTCAAGATAAGATGAGAAGTGGACCGGTCACCCTCTCTCACTCTCCACCCGTAGATTTCTTTTATGTTTAAACTTGTAGTCTTCAGCCCGACACTGACTCAAGTGACATCACATTTGAGGCAATATATATCACATTTCATGCAGTACCTTCTGGAGCCACAAAAGGCTTTATACAACTTTTCGAACACATGTAGTTAGTAGGACTCCTAAAGACGTGTAAACAGACTTTGATGTGTACATTTGTTTAGTTCCACTTTAAGGCTCCAGAAACTCAAGAAGTGTGTTAATTTCAGCATTGTGCTTGTGGAGAATATTCCAGACGACCTCTTTCTCCCCATGGATGGCAGACCCCACCTCCCTCTCTCTGCTGGCTTTCATACATTGTTGGACAAGGCAAAGCACTCAGTTGAGGTGGTCTCACCTGTCTGGGCCTTAAACCCCTGGGACCTCGAAACAACGCCAAGCTCTGCCAAACAGGTACAAAGTCACGGCAGACAGTCTGAATATATCCCACTACATTCAAGCAGAGCATGAAGCAACTGCATTCCCCAGGTGTTGTTGTAAGGGGTAATGCCCTAATTATTTTCCCGTAGCTCTCAATGAGGTTAATCCTGCTGAGATCTATCAACATCGTCCTTTTAAGGGACAACCGGAAGCACTGCTCAACAACAGTAATACAGAACATCACTCTCCTCCTCAGGGTCAGCTGTTGTTCCAGAGACTGCTCAGCCTGAAATCTCGTGGGGTGAAGCTGAAGATTGCCAGCAGTCTGACTAACTCTGCTGAACTGAAGACCTTGGCAGCACACAGTGAGTGGCTGTCATATTTTCATGTTATAAAAGCGACTTGATATGCCACAGTAACTTTCCAGAATGAAGATTTGTAGCTCCTAACAACTCACCCGATGATGTTGTCTGTGCACAAGCCAGTTTTTAAAAGAAGAAGAAGGATTTAATAAGTGTTTTGATAGATGTAGGCTCATTTACAAACCTGAGCCCCATCCAGCGCCTCCACAGCAAGGGTCATACAACCTTCACCATGTCTGCCAAACTTCACAATGAAGGTCAGAAAATGATAAATGTGTTAATGTACCTGGCTGGTTTCCTTTCAAAGCCTTTTGCATCTCTGCCTGCCTGCTTTGCCCACATGTCCGTCAGACACTCCACGGCCCATTTCCACGATTCTCTCCAGCTCATTCTACCACCACTCTGCGTTTGTCTCTCTGTCTCACGCTATCCAGATGCAGAGGTTCATTTTGTTAATATGACAGCTTTTACCAGAGGAGGACTGCATTCCTCGTTCTGGATAGTGGATCGGAGGCACATTTACATCGGGAGCGCTGATATGGACTGGAGGTCACTCTCCAAGGTAACAACTGACATTCGGCAACATAGTGTGCAGAGTAAAGTCCGACCAGAGGATGAGTGAGCTGCTGCAGTTAGGTGTGGTCACATCTGCACTTCTTTTCTGGCCTCAATATGGCTACAGCAGAGTCTGGTCTCTCAATAATACAAGCTGGACAAACTTAATTAAATGATAACATTTGCACTCCACGGGGACTTAAAACACAGTCAGGATTAGTTCCACTCTACAACCTGTACCTTTTTATGCAATTACTCCAGCCACTCTTAATGGGCATCGGGGATGATTTAAGATTGCTGTCTGAGGCAGGCCAGAGAGGCAAGTAGCATTTCACTTTGCATTTAGTATGTAATTCACTATATTACAATAGAGGAGGAACCAGGGAGCATTAGCACGCTACTACTTGAAGCGATTAGCTGGCACTTTTCATGCTTCAGCGCGGGCTTGAGGAAGAACTGCTGTTTGGTGGGATTAACTAAGAAGCCAGAGGAAAGGAAGAGACACATGCATGATGACACACACACACACACACACACACACACACACACACACACAAATGATGGAAGGGAAGGTAGGAAGAGTGACAAAAAGAGAGCAAGTCAGATACTCACTATATAAATGATAGGAGAATAGACTTGATACCTCTGTGTGCTTCCTTCTGGGTCACTCACCAAAATAGAATAAACACAAAACAATAATTAAGGACCAGGTGAGATTATATACTGGTGAGAAACCAGGTGAGATTATATATTTAGAACTCTTGTTTGTTGCGTGTAGCTTTGGTCCAGACTGAAAAACAACGATTGAATGGATTGCAATTAAAGTTTGCACATATAAGCATTCGTCCCAGAAGAGGAATCCAGTGGACTTTAGTGACCCCTGAATGTTCCTCTAGCGCCATCATGAGGTTGATGTTTGTAGTTTTGAGTAAAATGTCTCAACAGCCAATAGATGGATTCTCATTCAATTTGGTACACGTAATAATTTCTTAAATAACTTCACCTCACCTCTTCATCTAGCACCATCATGGAGTCAAATTGTGTCCAGTACTTGCAAAACTAATGTCATTCCCATCAGCCTCAGCTGTTAGTGCCAGTTAGCGAATGATAAAATGCTGGAATGTATAATATTTACTATGTTCACCATATACGATAAATATTATACCTGGAAAATGTGAGCATGTTAGCATCGTCATTGTGAGCATGTTGGTGTGCTTATCTTAGCATTCAGCACCACTGTGCCTATAGCCTCACAGAGCCAAACCAAGACACCCTGATCCTATTGTAATATTATAATAGAATCAATCCTATTAGATTATCAAATCTTCTCACAGAGTTACTATTATCACTCTAAGATCAGCAGCACTTTGCCTTTTATCTAACTCTAATTCCTTTGTCACATTGTGAAAGCATATGTCTGTCCAGTGAACACACGTACACACACAGACTGCAACCTTTCTGCTGCGTCACCTTTTCCTGTGTGCTTCCTTCTGACACCCCACAGAGGAAAGAACTGGGGGTGGTGGTGTATAACTGCAGCTGTCTGGCTCTGGACCTCCACCGAGTCTTTTCGTTTTACTGGCAGCTCCACGAGAGGGACTACATCCCCTCTATCTGGTCGAAGAGAGTTACAGCCCTGTACGGGAGGCACGACGCCCTGGAGCTACAACTCAACGCCTCAGAAGCCACTGCTTACGTGTCTGTGAGCAACGACTTTGTTGTGCATCCGTATTTACTGCATGTTAACACATGAAGTGACTCTACACATGAAAGTCCTAATCAATTATTCAACTGTTTTATATTCCTCTTAAGGCACCAGCTGCCTGACTCTGGACTAGACGGTGAATGTCTTTATGAAAGTTTCATTGCCAACTAACAACAGCCCCGCGCAGCGGGTGATTAATCATGTTAATACCACGCTGAGGAGCATCTTGAGTCTGAATATCTCAGTACCTCAGCCTAATTTGACAGTAATGAATCTTGTTACCCTCTAAGCGACAAGACACCTACCAGTTGCATTTAGGACATTCATCATCCGACAGGAAGTAATGGAGCCGTGCTGGCAGAAGCTGCTGGCAACTCTAACCTGCTGTTGTGCCTCGCTTTAGTGTGTCTTATTGTTTTCTTGCCCTTTACTTTGTCAAAATGTTACACTGAATCTGTCAGACATTTTGGAAAATGATATACCCTAATTATGTTGACCTTATCAGTGTAACATTTTTCAGTGGGGTGTAAATTAGTTTCTTGAATTGGGATAAACGCAATATCAAAAGTCAGCCAAAATATTAGACTTTATTGTCCCCAAGGGGAAATTCTTTTCCACAGCACTGTACTCATCAGAGAGCAGTACATACAACAGCACACAGTGAGCACACACTCCGGCCTGGTCAGCGAGGGCTGTTGTTTAAGGCTATGGCTGTGGGCATCAGGTTTTCCCCAAAGCAAGCCCTTCTGCACCCAACGAGCAGTAACTCACCTTTCAGCTCTTTGGTTTTCATAATTTCTATTACATTTTGGGTACAAACCTGTCTGAATGATGTCTCCTGTCTGCAGACCTCTCCCGAACTCTTCTGCGCTAGAGATCGCACCCGAGATGTCGATGCCATCTATCAAGTCATCCAGAGTGCAAAGACATTCATCTTCATATCTGTGACGGACTACCTCCCTCTGTTGAGCAGGAGCTTCAGAGGAACGTCAGTCACAAGGTATATTAGAACTATTTCTGAGAGCTTTGAAATAAATTGAGACTTAGCTACATGTGACAGATTTATTAACTGCGTGTCATTGGCTTTAGATTATAAAACAGTGTCTCATTGGTTCCAATAGGTACTGGTCAACTATTGATGAGATGATCAGAGAGGCTGTGGTCCTGAAAGGAGTCAGAGTTCGCCTGCTGATAAGCTTCTGGAAGAAGACCCACCCCCTCACCTTTAACTTTGTCACCTCCCTCAAGTCGCTCTGCATGCAGCTGCCCAACTGTTCGGTAGAGGTGGTGCGTGAATTGACAGTTTCTCCAGATATGTTTCATTAAAGCTGTAGTTTAGTATTTGCAGTGAGCTTCTTGACTTTCTCTAGATTCTTTATTCTTGCATATTACGTTTAGAATAAGTGTGGTATGTGTACACACTGATCATGATCAATGCATTTTCTGCAGAGGTTTTTTAGTCACAAGGAGAAAGAGGAAGACATTCAACACGGACTCAACCACAACAAGTACATGGTTACCGACAACGCTGTCTACATTGGTAGGCAACGTACACTATTTGCAATTTATTCATTTTACTTTTACATTTTTAAGTGCATGTTTTCAAGATATGTCAGAATGTTTTGTTTTCATGCTGAGTGCTGTTTCAACAATGTTACACAGAAGACTTAAAGGACTCGTCTAAATCACAGCAAGGAAGTGAATGCTGTTTTTCCAAATGGAAAACTATAACTTTAGTTTGCAAGAAGAAAAGCCAGTACAGTGCAACTTAGGAGTCATTATTTCTTGCGATAATACACAGACACAATATCTTAGATTTGCTGTTTCTCCACAGGGAACCACGACTGGGTCGGGAGTGACTTTGCCATCAACACAGGAGTCGGGCTGGTGGTCAAGACGAAAAATAGCCTTGAAGGCAGGGGAGTCCTGGAACACTTCAAGGCTGCTTTTGAGAGAGACTGGAGGTCACGTTACGCTAAGAGTCTTCAAGGAAACAAAGATCAACTGAGATTCAGAAACCTGCATCAAGTGAAAGTTAATCTGCAGACTGAGGAGGAAAAGGAGCGGAACGACCCTTTATCATTATAAGCATAGAACGTCTGTCTATATCCTCATCGGGCTGAATATACAACACATGTACACAATATGAGAATGTGACGTACACTATTAGACTTGACATTCATTTTGTGACATTATTTTAATATATTCAGATGCAATCAACAAAGACAATGTTTGAAGTAATAAGTTGACTCACTACAGTTGCAAGTTACAGTAACGGTATCTAACTACTTCATTAAATGTTGACTGTTATATGAGCATGCTATGCTGCATGAATATTGAAAGCAATATTCAAATTCAATCTATATATATTATGACAAGCAATATGCTGATTATAAAATCAATATGCTCTGTGTGAATCTTATTTAAATCCATAAACATATCCCATCAAACTCACCAAAATAAATCATTTAGTATTTAATGATGATGCAATGTTTTTGTTGACAGTTTTAATTTGTATTTTACAGACATTTTAATACTTTTTGCATCACATTTAGGACTTTACTGATATAAATGAATAGCACACAGGCTTCACCGATGTGACGACTGTTTATCATCTCATTGAAAATGTTCATCTGACCATATAAAATGTGCTTTTTTCCGAATTGTTGTGTTTATTTCAGCATCACCTCTCTGGGAAGCATAGCTGACATTTACACATAAAATCCCTCCAAACAAGGTCAGGTGCTTCTTAACAGATAGTGATTCAACTTTCAGGCAATGGCTTATATAGTGCGGCCCAATCATTGGTCATATTTTGCTTTTATCAAAGTCACTAATGCGCTGTGAGTTACGTACCAATGTGCCTCATGTGCCTCATTAAACATAAGGCCTTCACAGTTTTAACGTAGTTAGAAAATAAATACATCATGCATGTATGCAGGAAATTATTACTACTGTAATGAGGTCACTGTGTATTACATAGTCTCACATTACACCCATGACACATTTTAAATTGTGCATTAATTACAAAGCTAGAGTCACAAGAAATTGCTCCGTTACACTAGAAATAGTGTAGTGTAGTGTAGAAAATGTTTTGATTTGTGTGATACTACATCTACGCCCAGTGATGAAGTCAGTCCAACTGCATGAACCACATGTGGCCACTGGTGGGCAGACAAACTCTAAAACATGATGATTGATGAAATACCTTCAGTGGTGTGTTAGCACACAGTGGCCTTATAGTTCACAGCACAAACCTCTCATCAGTCAAAGCTCAGCATTTTAATCTTCACATTAGATGCAACAATTAGAGTTAATGTGATGTCAAATAACAATGCAAACTATTTCTGTGTTAATACAAGTGGATGTTATATTGTTTATCTGGCTGTTGACTGAGGGAAACATCTGTCATCTGGCATTTAGATGTATCAAATGTAATGAGATTGGAAATTTGAAAATTTCAGGGAAAACAGTCATTTAAAACGTGGAATTATTAGTAAGAGAGTGTGTTTTTTTCATTCAAAATAACACATTTCATTTTCTATTTCGTGGTGTGTTACACTGACACAACTGACACTGTTTTATTGTTTTGTAAATAATAGAACCGGCCCTCTGTTTAAAGCAATGCAGGTCAACAACACCACAAACTACATCCTAAAACACTATACACATTGTAAAGGTAGGATTTATAGCAGGATTCATGTATTAGACAACTGACAATTTTATAGATCATGATTTATCTGAAGAAATTATGTACATTATTTTTATAACGTAAAATTTAAGTGTATTATTATAAAGTACATCCATGAGAGATTTACAGATTCTCTTCCAGTTTTAAACACAAGGAGGCGCTGCTGCTCAGTCACAGGCTGCTAGCTTCGGCAGCTAAACTTTGGCATGATTAGTTTGGAGGTTTTGTATTCAGGGGGAAGAACTTCATCACATGCATGGGTTCATCTGTCTAGGATTACACCCATACGAGTTCACGGTTTATTATTTGTATTGTGCTGAGCAGCCTCCCCGAGCTGAACCAAATAATTATTTGTGTGCAAAAAAACAACTGTTGTAAAGAGTGCTAACTCTTTCTGTGTGCTGGGCAGGGGAAGAGGAGGAGGAGGAGGAGGAGGAGAGGGGTGAGGGGGGTCCGGCGGCAGATGCCTTTGCAGAGGACCAAGGAGGATGTAACGGAGTGTGGGGTGTTGCGGGACAAAATGCGGGTATGATTTGACGGATGGTGATGTTCGAACGCCGATTTGGCGACATTTAAACTGCTGGATGTGCTGAATGTAGCGACAGACTGTGTGTGAAAACACCGACAGCACAAACCGCAGTGCCGAGAGACATTTCTCAACTAGTGTAAATGAGATGGACGGGACAATTGGGATGGTGCACTCGTGCAAGACCGTGTCACCTCTGAAGAAAATGTAGACTGGGCTGCTACCACTCTTCTCCCTGATTGACATAACTGGGATTTTCTGTGTAGATCTCTCAAACACAACCTTTGGTAGCGATGGAAACTGGAGTTTTTCTGCCCTGCCTGGATGAATTCCTGCTGAGCCCTCTTGTCACTTGGGTAAGTATTGCAGACGGCTCTGATTTGCTGTCAGACACTGTGGTACCAACCTGTCATCCTGTGTCCTATCTTTGTTATTTAGGTGAGGACATTCGTGCCACATGATGGGGACATGCACTTCGACTTCTCTGTGTTACTGGACGGAGTCTTCTTGAATGCTGTAATGACACAAATGTAAGTCACTTCATGCCACATCTTCGTCCTTGCAGCTTATACATTCATTCATTTGTCACATTTCTAATTTAGATTGTGAGCCGTGTCCAGATGGGGATTTAGATTGGTAGCCTGTCTTTTGAAGCTGTTGACTGTCATAGACTTCAGTAGCAATTGATGATGATGATGACGATGATGATGATAAAGTACATCGTTCAAATACTAGAAATCCTCCTTATTTAGCCTTATTAAGTCGTTTTTTTAAAAGAATTAGGTATCTTCTCCCCTCGTGCCATCTACAGCAGCTACTGATACAGTATCAAGCATCTGCTAACATTCTTATCCAGCCACCAACAGTACTGGCTTTGTCACTCAGCAGTAATAAAGGGTATCTTTGTAGTCTGCAGCAGTCTTCAAATGCAACTTCCTCGTTACTTACAGGTTAGGTTTCTCAAAAAATGTAAGAATTAGCATGAAAGTTACAGACACTGAGGGAGATCTATAGACGTAATCGACTAAATAAGGAACAGATTTGCAAAGACATGAGGAAATTCATAGATACTGTCAAGACTCTACTTAAGAGATTATGATTGGGGTGCCTTATGTTCTGAGGGAATTAACCCGCACCTATAACAAACATTAAGTGATGGTCATCTGGCAGTTTACAATGTGACACAAACTGCTGTAAGGTGACAGGTGGTGAGACCCTGGTTCTAGTCTTCATGTTGGGAGACACTTTAGACATCGATGGTAGAACTGAAATTGAAGAGTTGCAGAGAAAAGGTAAAACAAACTGATGACCCAATGCACTTGTGGATAACGCTGTCTAGCCACCCCGAGTCTACAGTGTGCATTCATCCCACTCATCCCCCAGGGTCACAATAACCAGCTCTAAATGCAAAACAATGCTGCGCTGAGGGGAGGGTAAGAGGCGGGATAATCTCCTGGATTGGGAGACCCTCTGGGATTAGGGCCTCGTTGCTGGTGTTTAGTGGCACTGGGACACAGATGGGAAGGGAAGGGAGGAGTCACAGGAAACGGACAAACAGCACAGAGATGGAGAAAGGCATAATAAAACATGTGATGTACCGGGCCGCAAGGCAGCATCTCTGTCTCTCTTTCATTCATTGTGTCTTTCTATCTGCCTTTCTGCCTCACTCTAACGTCTATATATATAGAAGACATTTGTGTGTAAGTTAGTCCATCTCTTTGCTAGTTACTCTTAATGTCTGCACACAACCGGTTTCCTTTCCTGAGCAACAAGGTGAGGTCTGTCCTATTATACTGCACAAAGGTTCATGAATGACAGCATTTCAGCTATAATGTATGACAGCTCAACCCCAGACCACATTAGGCCCGAGCCAACAGCCCAAGAATCCAGCTAAAGAGTTTCCTTTGGGGGAAAAGTTTAATGCCACCCCATTTGGCTCAAGCAGTGCGGTTTGTTGACTGAAAGGAATGACATCACAGGGGCTAAAGTTAGGAATGAATAGAGAGCTCATACATGTTTTCATGGCGATCCCTGAGCCAAAACTTTTACTGGCTTGCAGCTCCCTCTCACTCCATTCCGCTGACAACCGTTTGTTTGTTTGTGAGTAGCAGAAATGTCAAGTACAATGCCTTTATGTTGTGTCACGCCTTCAGAAATCCCTCGGCTACACCTCAGGGTGCAAAGGAAGTAGGCAGAGATCCAAGTCAGAGGATCCAGAACCTGAACCTCCTTGTCCAACAAATCAAGAGGTATTATCTGGTGAGTTTTGGATGTTCCTCCCTCTCATCCATATGTATCTAAACAGGCCGCAAAGCTTTCCCTCTCTCTCTACACGAGATTATGCTATCTGAACATTGGATTTTCCAACTCAACTTTGCATCATCCATCACGCACACACTAGCTCACACATGCGCAAACCAGATAGTCGGTAGCACTTGTGTCACAGCAGATCAACTAGTTTCTCTTAAGATGCGTGCCCTAAATTTCAGCCATGTACACAGCTGTGTAATCGCCACAGGAGTGAGGTTAGAGTGCGGCAGAGAGCCCAGTCAGAGCCACAGACAGAGCTTTAGGGGGACACATGAAGTCATGAGATTCATGGGCGGACACCACTGATGGCGAATCTTGGATTTGCCGTCTGTGTCAGAGTAATTAAGTACAATTCGAGATAAGCTTTCTTCTGCTAAGAGCTGTTTAGAGCACAAGAAAAGTCATTTCAATGAGGACGGGTCGATCAAGAGCTTCAGATTAGCAGCGCAAAAGAACAAATATAGAAAAGAACGGGTTTTTTTGTTTTTGTTACAACAGATTAACAACATATCTGATAACATCGTGTCTAATTATCCTTTGTACTGTATTTTACTCTTGGTAAACTCAAGGTTTGGTTACTTCTAGTCATGTTGATCTAAACCAATGCAGCTCTCCATCCAAGGACCCTTCAGGAGAGAAAAACATCCGTATTATGTTTTTCCTGAGACAGACTTCATGCCTTTGCTTCTATTAGAATAACTCTTAAGTACAAAGCAGTAAACGTAGATGTAGGGCAGCCCTTGAATCTTTAATCTGCTGTCATGTGAAAATCCCATCCGGATCTGATTTTGGTTATTTTTATGTTGTAAGGTACGTTGAAGATGACAGACATGCTAGCTGCTCTGTGAGGCATAATGGTACTTTAAGCTACATGCTTAAGTCAGCATGCTAATATTTTTACAATCACAATGCTAACATGCTAATGTTTAGCAGCTATAATGTTTGTTGTTTACCATGTTCACTTTCTTAGTTTAAGGTGTTAGCATGCTGACATTTCAACTGAAAGAAAGGCATAATAAAGATTCATCTGGTGTGCTTTACATTGGTATAGAGCAAGGCACTGTATTCCTAACATTCCTAACAGGAGCTATTAACAAACACTATTACACTGCTCACACACCAGCACACACACTGTGCACACATGCATAGATATAAGCCATTTGTAGGCTGATGCAAGGCTGTACCGAACACTGCACCAGGGAAACAGGCTCTGTCATCTGCCCATTTAGAGGCTCCTCCCTTTGTTGGCGGTGTTTCTATACATGTATTTAAGCAGCTGCTATGTGCTGTACATACGTACATACGTCGCTGTCCATTCAAGCTCTTCGGCTGGACCGCAAGAAGTGTTGTATTTAGTCCTTGTTTTAGTTCGGCCTGAAATGTATCGTCATCTTCCCTTTTTCCTCCACCCTCCTCCCTCCTTGTTTCTCTTTTTTTCAGGATCATCTGAGACAATTAATCATGATTCCTTTGCCAAACGTGTTGCTGCTTGGCAGGACTCCTTACTGTGGTATGCTCTTTTATTCCTCATCTTAGAGCTGCTAATTCAAGCCTGACGGGTCCGTCTGCTGACAGTCAATAAGCACTGCATTGATCTCCAATCATTTACCTGCAATAAGGACATGTGTAATATAGGTCGATTATAATCGCTAAAGTGGCCGAACTAAAACTTCTGAGAGAAGATTAAGAGTTTATTTGACAAAATAATACATCCATAATCCATAACAATTAAAGCAGCCCATCTAATTAGACAAGTTAACTACTAGCAATAATGTAATTGTTCAATATTTTTGAAAATGTTGACGATGCAAAACTTGTGATAATCTTTGTTTGTAATTAATGAATAATGAAAATCAAGCATTTTCCACAAAAAAAGCCTTGTGATACAGTTTCTGATACAGTTTGAATTCAGTTGCATTCTATGAGTCTGATGACCACGCTGCTTTGTGATGGTAAGGCTTTGGCAAGTGGTGACCCAAATTCCCCAGCCAGCAGTTTATTCTACTTAAATCATGCCAGCAGCACTCAGCGCTTCAATCTGATAAGTCATATTTCAGATAATGAGCTTTTTTCTCCTCTTTAACAGAGCAAAGTCTGGAGGAAACAAAGAAGCTTTTGCTGCTGCTGTTGGGATGTGCAGTTCAGGTAAAGCCTGTCTATCTGATCAGAAATCCTGAAGCAGACAAGACTGCATGAGATGTGGAGATCTAAATCTGTTAACGTTTTTATTTTCAGTGTGAGGAAAAAGAGGAGTACATCGAGAGGATCCAAACACTTGACTTTGACACGAAAGCTGCCATAGCTGCACATATTCAGGAGGTATATGACTTCATATGAGATGCCACAGCTACGTTGTTCAGGAAATCAGTTTGTGTGTAGCTGTGCTTGTGTCTAGTACACACAAGGAATACTGTAGATACAGCAGGATTCACAGCCAGCATAGATATTATATATTGTATATTATATTATATTATATTATATATTATATATTGTTAGTTGAAGATATTATGAGAAATACAGTTTATATTAAATTCTTGGAAGTAGTAATGATTTATTCGGAAGTGAAAGACAACACTGTATTTTGTAGCTGCATATGAAGGATCCTTGTGCCAATATACTGTATAATGTATTCATTCCCATTATATCGTGTTTTTTCCTGCTTGTCTGACTGTCCGTGTTTACCAGGTGACCCACAGTCAGGAGAACGTGCTGGATCTGCAGTGGTTGGAGTCCAGCGATGTGCACCCAGATGAGTTGGAGGTCGTAGCGAGGAACATGGCCACGCACCTCCGACATGTGCTGGACCAGAGGGACACCCATCTAGAGGTATGTTTGATCTTAAGAGATACATATTTACTGCAGGTTTTATGTGAACCTAGGTGTGAATCCAAAAATGTTTAGTACATGAAGATATTTTGGGTGTATAGTCGCTACAAAGCATGCATTATAAGTCATGGAAATTCTATGTAGACAGTGAAACGGTTTCAGTTCTAGATTTTAAGAGGTAAATTGGGGACTGAGTCAAATGCTAATCTGTAACCTGTCCGTTTCGCAGACTATAGCAGAGCTAATGCAGGAAAAGGAAGGTGTGGTGAGCCTGCTCAATAGCCCCTCCAGCCCGCAGTCTGGCAGCTACTCCCCCAGCATGCAGCAGCAGACAGGTACTCAACAACACCTGGCAGTGGAGCTGGCTGATTCTAAGGCCAAGATCAGACGACTTAGGCAAGAACTGTGAGTACTAAACACTTTATTCACTAAAATAAAAAAGTACAATGTAGTTTAACAAGAAAGCAAATAGCAAAAAAGGAGAAAGAAAAGTCCTTGTGGCTAAATGTTTAGCATATAATGTACACAATCAGGAGAATAGTACAGTCACTAAATCATTTTACAGCAAACATGCCAGAACATAAAACAGTTGTTCTGAAATCTAAAAACAACGCAAATGGCATGAGATCAAAAATACAAACTGGTAGAAGTTGTCCATTCCCACACGAAGCGATGGTTTAATTTGATGTTGTCTCTTGGTATAGTATGAGTTTCACTTCAGGATGGATGTTGGTAAAGAGTTAACCTGTCCTCTGGGGAACCGCCAGTAGTGAGTGAATGAGAGGCAGAGAGAAAGATATACAGGATAAGAGATGCCTCTGGGAGTTTGGCCCACATTACTGCCTGCTTGGCAGGTTCCATGGCTGTGCACCACCACTGACCCACATTGGCTCAGCATTTCAGCGAATACAGCATGTACACTCACACACACACACACACACACACACACACTAACCCTGATCCAATCGAGATCTCAGCTCCATCATTGATCTCCACCCCGTTTACTCGGCTGTATTGTCCTCTCTTGTTGGGATGCTCGGATTGACATACTGCTGCCTCTATATGACTGAAAGCATCACGTATGGCCTTAGACAGTTCTGTCATGTGCATAATGTACATCGGAACCTGCATCGGTTTCTCCACAACATGTGAGGAAGAAAATAAAATGGGGCTTAAGAAGCTTTATGTTGGAATCAGGTTATGTGTGTTTTACAATGCATGTGTGTAACAACATTGATAATTCTACTTGTTGTTTTGAATGTGCAAAACACAATATGTCAAAGAAGTATTTGTATATGGTCAGTATATAAAGATATGTTAAGTTATGGAAGGAAAGTAGTTCACTCTAACCAGCCCGCCTGCTCATCTTTCTGCACTGCCCATCGGACCCCACCAGAGAGGAGAAGAGCGAGCAGATGCTGGACTGCAGACATGAGCTTGAGACCATGGAGGTAGAGCTGAAGAGGATCCAGCAGGAGGTTTGTAGTTAGAATGAATTGCAGCTCCTTCTGATGGTGACACACAGTAACCTCCTGATCGCTCTGCAGATTATACAGATTATTGCACACCATACTTTGCTGCAGAGCGGTGCTTAATGACAGCAAATTTAAACCTCTGAACTCAGAGATACAAGCAAAGCTGTTATGGATTTGTCTGAACGAGAGATCTCATTTGTGTTCTCTGTTTTAGCCTTCTGGCTGCATGGTTCGTTTCCAACATGTTGATTTTGGCAACTAATTTAGTCTTAGTCCTTCGACAAAAATGCTTATTAGTTTTAGTCTCACTTTAGTCATTTTTATCCTTCATAGATTTAGTCTAGTTTTGGTCTAATTTTAGTTAACTCAAAATGTTTTAGTCCAGTTTTAGTCACTGAAAAGTCGTTAAAATGTTAGTCTACTTTCAGTCAAAATGTTTTCTCTCTCTTCATTTTTTTATTTAGTTCCAGCCATGTGTCAAATGCTCCTTTTACATTGAATATTTCAGTCATTCTAGTCTGGCCAAAACAATAAATTTGTCATTTTAGTCAAACTCATTTCACACAACATTTTATCGGATGAAAAGAAGAGGTTGAATGGAATACAGTTTTGTCGGTACGGACATTTCAAGCGAAAATACTATTCGAAAATTACGTGGAACTATTCGATGACTCTTTGAAGATCAATGCAGCTTTGATTAAAAATAATAGTAACAAACTGACTTTGACTTATGCTGAGAGACACTTGAAGACTTGCAGAACTAGATAAGAAAGAATGACGCAAGGCTCCATCATGTTTTGCTATGAACTATGCTTCGATGTAAACCTTCACCAGAACTCCCAGCTGCTTGTAGACGCCCGCGCAGCCCGCACCTACCGGGACGAGCTGGACGCCCTGAGAGAGAGAGCAATGAAGGCGGACAAGCTGGAGAGTGAAGTGGGACGCTACAGGGAGCAACTGCACAAGATGGAGGTCTACAAGGCCAAAGTGGAGGTTGATGGAGTCTTATAAATGCTTTACCAGTTCATTTTGATTATATATGCTTGGATCTCAGGAAATCACAGAATCCTGCAACAATCAAATATTGATTTTTTTTTTTGGGGGGGGGGGGCGGGGAATGTGTGTGTACTTCAGGAGCTAAAGGAGGATAACAGGGTGCTACAGGAGACCAAAGAGGTGCTGGAGGATCAGTTGGCAGGCTGGAGGGCACGCTCCGATAAAATACACCAGCTGGAGAAGCACGGTCTGCTGCTGAAGGCCAGGGTCCATGACATGGAGCAGGTCAGACATCTGCACACAAGGAGATCAGTGGCAGTAATATTCAAAATCATCTAGAACTCAACATTAGATTCCTAAGTCCTCTTTTAGATTCAACGATTCTCCAGTCTGTTCTGCGACTGGACAGAATCTGTTCTCGTGCCTCTGCTGATGCTTTGTCTCCCCACTTGAGGAGAGGGAGGCAGATCAGAGGCGCACTGAGGAGCTGCAGGAGGAGAACCTGGCTCTGTGTTTGGCTCAGAGGAGGAGCATGGAGGAGTCCCAGCACCTGGGCTGGGAGTTAGAGCAGCTAACCAAGACCACTGAGAACTCTCAGGGTAAGAGCTGCTGGTCCAGTAAGATGACGTAATGGGAGAATTAATGGATTGTATTGATTGGAATAGTAGCGAAGGGTAAGTAAGGAAATGCATCTGTGAATTATGTAAGTGTGTTCATCCATGGATACATGCATGCATAAGCGCTCCATTAGAATTTCTTATATCAGGAGATGTTTCACCAAACAACGTTAATTGTGATTTTGAGATTAACACTTGCATGTCCCTGATGCTATAGATATATAGTAGGCTAACTGAGCTAAGCTAGACTCATCAAACTGTGCACAGACATATTAAAGGTTTCCCTGAGAGTGTCTAACTCTGTGTAAGGAAAGCCTAATGGCACCTGTTTACAACTAGTCTTTCATTCTGTCTGTCTCAAGTCCTCATCTCCTTCAGCTAATTGCCACCATGTGTTTGTGTAAAGGCCAGCAGACTCTGAGCGAAGAGGTGAGTGAGAGGACCTGCAGTCGGATGCTGAAGCTGGAAAAGGAGAACCGAAGTCTCTTGAGGACCGTAGAGGAACTGAGAGCTGCCTTGATTAACAGAAACATGCAGCCCAAACATAGCCACCACCTTGACGGTGATCACGTCTGCCAGGGGATCTGTAGCACCGACAACTGTACCTCATCAACAGATGAACCCACAGGGTTGCAAACCACCTGCCCAAATGTAGAATACCGCACTAATGTATTCCCACACAGTGCAGTAACACAGCAGATGCTGAATGGGCATTCAAACTGTCATCAGCTATTCCATGCAGAAGATCTGGAACAAGTCCAGAGTAAGATCCTCCTCACAGATGATCCAGACCTTCTTGTTCAAGAGAAAGGACAGCTAGAGGATGCAGACCATGGAGACCATCTCAAAGAGCTGATGTCTGATCTGGAGGTCTTAGAAAACAATCACAATAGGCTCCATTGTTTTGTTGGATCACGTGATCACTCCCCTGGCTCGAAGGGCAGTAGTCCGTGCCATGAAAGCATCATCACAGGTCTGCCAACACGTTCCTCCTATGCCAGGAAGCACACACAGCGACTGGAGGCCAAGTGCAGGGCCCTGGACACAGTTAACCAGCATCTACAGACTTCCCTTGATAACACTGGTAGGTTCTGTTGATCACAACACAAATCACTGTAAAAGATTCAGTTATGCAAGCATACGACCCAACTCCATCTCTTTAGACAGGAAAGTTCAGCGTCTGGAGGCAGAGGTTCAGGAGCTGGAAGCAGAGAACCAGAGTCTGCAGGCCACTTTAGAGGAACTTCGGATCTCTGCACGGCGCCTGGAGCAACTGGAAAACGATAAGCAAAGCCTGGAGCAAGAAACCACAGCCCTGGAGAGGGAAAAGAGGCAGCTAGAGAAAGACAATCGACGACTCCGCCAGCAGGTAGGTAGGCTTGTTTTGTGTCAGTTGCTTACCTAAGGAAGGATAATGTTTGAAAGACTCATGTTGCTCTTTCAATAAAATGGCTCCTGTTCTACCTGTCTCTATTTTAGGCTGAAATCCAGGAAGCCAATTTAGACAGCAGTAACATCTGTATGGCCAGCCTGGAAAGGGAGATGCGTTTTCTGGTGAAGGAGGTGGAGGGGTTAAGAGAGACTGCTGAGAGGGTCAAAGGCCTGGAGAGAGACAGCAGAGAACTGACCAAGCAAGCTGCTATCGACCAGAGGACCCTGGCCACCCTCAGAGAGGTGAGGGAAGGAAGTCTGTGCTGTCTAGTTTACGCTGACCGTATAAATAATCTACCCAGACACGCCCTAACGTTTCACTGATAGTGCAGCAGTGAGCATGTGTTTCACAGATTTTGGTTCAAACTTTGCTTACATTCTTCCAACGGCAAGAACGCATTTACAGACTTACAAACATACTTTCCTAAACAGTGGAATTAAATGAGTTCTTGATGTGTAAAAAATGATGTTAAGCGTCAATAAATGTCTCTTTAAAAAAAGGTTTTGTGAAATCCACATATACTGTCCATCTTTAGGAGCTGGTGAGCGAGAAGCTGAAGACGCAGCAGAGAGACAATGAACTGGAGACGCTGGCCCATGAGTTGGAAATGAGGGTCCTGAACCAGGAGAGTGCAGAGCAGGCGGAGAAGGAGGCACCAGACAACAGGTGCTTGGAGTTCCCGTCCAGTAACCTTTGAAGTGAATATGGTAAGAAATGAGGTTATAATGCCACAGTTGGTACTGAATTTCTTCTTTCCTCTTTGCAGCAGGTTCAAGATGCTGGAGTCAGAATTAGAGTCGTCTCTGAAGAAATCTCTTCAGATTAAAGAGGACAAGATGGCAGCTTTAGAGGCTCGTCTGCAGGAATCCTCCACCCTGAACCAGCATCTGCGTCAAGAGCTCAAGACTGTTAGTCATGTCATACAATTTCCCTTTTGGAGGCCTGTTAGCGTCACAAACCTCCCTTGAAAAAATTACATAGTATTTTGCTACAGATCCATTTGACCTTTGACCCCACAGGTGAAGCTGAGCTATGAGGCCTTGCAACAGAGGCAGGAGGAAGAGTGGACGGCATCGAGTCCCACCCCTGCCAGAGAGACTGGCAAGGCAATGAGCGAATGGCTGCGTGAAAGCCAGGAGGCCACCAAAGAACTGCTGAAGCTCAAAGACCGTCTCATTGAAGTGGAGAGGCATGTAAGTGGCTGGCCTTTATCAAAGTAAATGATCTATATAGTGAACTATTTTTTAAATGGTACTATTGGTTCTTAACACACACTAGCACTTGCCTTTGATGTTAATTTGTGCTAATAGTAGACCAAACAATGTGCTGAAGGTATAAAGTTAACACAACCTCCTGTTTTTCCATGTCATGTTTTACAATAATCTCCTCTCCTCCTCTCCAGAATGCGACACTTGAGGCAGAGCGCCAGGCAATGCAGGCCCAGCTGAGGCAGCTGGAAAGTCAGTCTGACAGTCAGCAGGCTCAGATCCTCGCCCTGCAGAGGCAGGCTGCCTCACTGCAGGAGAACAATACGGCCCTGCAGACACACAATGCAAACCTGCAGGTGACACTGCAACAGACACTATTCTCTGTGGTACACAAAACATACACACAAGTATATTCACGCCTCTGCAAGAGCATGCAAGCATGCAGAAAATACACACTGAAATGTTACATTAACTCCTAATCCCTAACTTTTCCAGGTGGAAAAATCCAGTCTGAACTCACAGAGTGCTTCCCTCATGGCCCAGAATGCTCAGCTGCAGCAGCAGCAGTCAGGGACAGAAAGCGAACGGGACAATGCCATACGGGAACGTGAAGAGCTGCGCGGTGTTCAAGAGCAGCTATTAAGAGATCACGAGCGGCTGGCAGCTCTGCATGAACGGCAAGCCATGGAGTACGAGGCCCTAATGGGCAAGCATGGCTGTTTGAAAAAAGCCCATCGCACACTGGAGTTGGAGTCTCGCACACTGCAGGACAGGTGGGGGAAAGGCACTATCAACATGCCGTGTAGTACGAGATCCCTGCATAGTCTCGTGTGTGTGTGTGTGTATTCATGCATGTTCACGTGTGTGTATTGGTGGTATCTTTAGGTACAATAGCCTGTTGCAGCAGCGGATCAAGCTAGAAGACCTAGAGAAAGCTGTGAAGGAGGAGCAAATGAGGATGGCTTTGGAGAAAGAACAGCACAGGACCACTGCTGCTGAGTGTTGCAGACTCCGTGATGAGAAGGAGTGGTGAGGAGGCAACATTACATGCACACGCCCACGAGAGCATGTACACACTTAATGCACACCCAGACAAATGAATGGATGTGGGCTTACACAAGGAGCTAGATATCACCGTACATCTTCTTTTTTTTTAGGCTGAACCAGACACACCGTCAGCTTGTTAACGACAATGAGTTGCTGACGGCGGATCACAAACAGCTCAAGAGCCAGCTGAATGAGGCCAAGCTGGAGCACACCTGGCTGGAGGCGGACTTTTCCAAACTCAAGAAGGAGTTCCAGCAGCTGGACATCTCCTCCACAAAGCTCACCAACCAGTGTGAGGTATTGACATGCAGCAGGTTGAGCTGGTGTGGTTTTGCCTATTAAATAATATAAATATACCTTGTAATTACCTCTTAACCTCAGCACACTCTGGACTAACATGCTTCAGAGTGTCTTCATAGTCTCAATAAGCTGGCTTTATGTATAGTCCTGCAATTTCTTTCTTTCAATAATTGCACAACAGTGTGTTTTGCATATATTGTGCACATATGGCTGCTTGTCTGTGTGATGTCTAGCTGCTGAGCCAGTTGAAGGGCAACCTGGAGGAAGAGAATCGCCACCTGCTCAGCCAGATCGAGACCCTGATGCTACAGAACCGAACCCTGCTGGAGCAGACTATGGAGAGCAAGGATCTGTTTCACGTTGAAGAGCGACAGTATATGTAAGCAAATAGGGACAACACCATAACAAGATAATGTAGCACTAAAAACAGTCTTATGTGTTGATTTACAGCATGTTACAGTAACGTGTTAATTATCTAACACATTGAAGTGTTTGATACTTGCAAAAAGCCCAAAATGTAGCTTATGTACACCAAAATACCACAGTAATCAACAGCTGGCCCACAATTCTAAACTTTTATTTTAAATGATAAATCTTTCTATCTGCCTCTCTTCCTATTCAGTGGCAAGCTTAATGATCTAAGGAGACAGAAGGAGAAGCTGGAGGAAAAGATAATGGACCAGTACAAGTTCTATGAGCCATCGCCTCCACGTAGGTAAGTTGCCTGCAATATAGTGACATACAATCATCTGTTTCTTTTATTTTTTACGGTGAAATGACTGTGACATGCCACATTTTAGTTTTCACATTCAGCCCCTTATACATTTTGATGTGGTACTTGACCATGTCATTTTCGGCTCACATACATTACAGTTCATAATATACACAGTTATTTAATCAATCAAGAAATGTTCATAGCGTAGTCAGTAATACAAAAAAAACAAAATACCAAAACAGTAAAACCAAAACAATGAGCAGCAAGATGCTAAAATGCTCCGTAAAGCTGAGAGGAATTGCAGATTTGTTAGTGTAAGAATATTGATAACAGCAGCATTAAATATGTATTGTTTAATCTGTTTATCAGGCAAACATGTACGTCAATTGCTAGGCTTCACCTTTGCATGATTGGTGATTGATTGATTTTTGTAAATCTGCCCTTCCAAAGACATGGAAACTGGATCACTCTGAAACTGAAGAAGTTGATTAAATCCAATAGCCGTGAGCATGGACCCGACTGCCCGCCGACACCCACACACTCAGGCGTCGCTGAGCAGCACCTCTCCTGTCACGAGAACAACTCCTTCATCAGCTCAGATGGCTCTGGAGGCTCAGCATCCACCTCAGCAGGTGATGCCATCTCACCCCAACGTAACAGCAGTGAGTAGGACCTTCTTGAATTCACCAGATCATCTCCCATTGACTTGACAGGAGCAGTCTCATCAGAGTTCCAAAATCCCCGATTCACTGCTTCAGCCATGATCATCATCAGAGGCAGGGCCCAAATATCACTCAGGAGTGTCTTCATGTCGAATCAAGTCCACAGCCAGAGGGACAGGGCGGCATGGGCGAACCACAGCAGTCACATCTACACATGAAGTTGTATTTGTAGAACAGACATCTTCCCAACATTTGACAAAACTGTCCCCTCCGCCTCCAGCAAAATATCAGATAAATGGATTTTAAAGTAAAACTGTGTAATAAATACTAAATAATGCAGGTATTGCAATGTGTTTAAAAATAAGCATATGTGCATGTGACCAGTCCTCAATATGTCTTCCCCGTGTCTTTCTTGTTTCTTAATGTGTTTCTTCACTCCTGCCTTCTGTCTTTCCCCTTGTCTTTTGTCTTCCCTCCCTCCCTCTCTCCTCCCTTACATCCCTCTCTCTCTGCTCGCATCCATTCCTTTGTCGGCCTCCCACGTGGCTGCACTTTGCTGTTAAATAGCCACCAAAATGTTTCCCCGTATGAGGAACAGGCTGAAGGATAGAGACAAAGTCAAGTCCCTCTTCCGGCGTTCCATATGTAAGAAAGACTGTGGTACAGTGTCGACCCTCATCTTGACTGTAGCCTTTTATTTAACTGCTAACTTGATCATATTAAGTGTATCAATGCTTTATTCTTTTCTCTATTACATAGCGTAACATCAAAGTAACCTTAGAGTGAGTAGGATTCATCATTGTCAGTAAGGATACTCCCGAGACATATGTTAGTAATGTAGTAATGTAATAATAATAGTAATAGTAATAATCCATGCCGACCTCATTTCAAGATATGATAATACATTTTTAAGCATTTGCAGCATTCATTTTAGCAGTATAGCTATATTTGAAGACAATCTGGGGTCATTTATCAGAGGTCAAAGAAATGGTGCATTGCAGGAGGACACTGGTGCTGCAGGAGCTCTGCCCCACCAGGAGCCAGCTGTACTGCAGGGATTAACACCACATTTCTAGATGCGTGTGTGGTCTATGGAGAAAGCCTCCATAGACCAGTTCACCCGTCTATCCCTCTCCCTCATCCACTTCCCACTTCTTCCACTCCTTGGTCCAACAATGCAGCCCTGAGCAGCTTGGCGTACCCCTCAGCCCTGCTCAAGGAGGAGCAGTGGGCAGACAGCTCAGCGTGGCTGGAAGGGTCAGAGGCTGATGTTGAGGAGAACAGGAAGAACGCATTGTCCTCATCCCTTACCACATCCATCTTATCCATCCTCCACCTCCATCTTCCTACCACTCTACCATCTGGCCACGTCACCATCACTACCACTGATCCAGATGTTTCTGAGCTCTGGGTGACAGGTAGAGGCACTCACGAGCCACTGTTTTGTTTGACGTCATCGTCATCAGTTCGATGCTGGAATAAAGTGTAGAGGAGAGTAGAGCAAAGATAGCACAACATTTCTCATTTTAGGAGTTGAAAATAAAAGTGCTGAAAAGCATCATTCGCTTATAACCATTCGATGATTTCTCCTTTTATGCCCCACAGACAAGGATTCAAATGATAGCGCTGTGCCATCTGGATTTGAGGACAACGACGAGCTGCAAAATCACGGTAAAGCCCTGTGCATACACGTTGAGAGGATTCATCAAGCATACAAATGTATGACCAGCTCAGGAATTAGAGCAAATCCATCAAATTGCAATCATGACCTTGTTTCATATTAATCTCTATCCTGACTACAGAGGCCAACAACTGTTATAGAAAGACTTGACTCTGCTGCCCCCTGCTGGTCATTCCGAATATGCTGAGACAGCTGACACATTTTCATGATAGAAGTGAACATTTCTGTATATATTGTAGCTCTTTAAAAGAGCGTCATAATCTTTTTCCAGGGCTGAATGGCGTCCAGAGTCGAGCTCAAAGTGAGAGCAGCGGTGAGTTCAGCCTGAGCCTGGAAAATGAGCCGTGGTCAAATGGCAGCAGCCCTGTCCAGCAGCCCCCGTCACGCCGCTCCTCCTCCTCCTCCTTCCTGCCCCCCAGGGATACCTCCACCCCACAACACACACAGAAGCAGCACAAGGAGAGAGCTTCTACCATGCCCATCACCAACAGCCAGACTTCAGTTGTCCAGTCTCTACCAAAGCAGAAAAACCCTGTGCTCTCTCAGGACTTCTGGCTCACAAGGGGTACAAAGAGCATCCGAAGGGTGTCAAGAGGGAAAGTGACGCGTCGCTCGTCAGATTCAGCGGGCACAGCCAAAACTAACCCAGTGCTCAATGGGATGAATTCAAATTCATGCTGTAGCAAAACGGAAACAACCCGGGCCTTAGCTTGTTCACCTATCACAGTGATGTGTGTTCAGGGCAAATCTTCTTCAATGTCTGGCTGCCTCAACTGCTTCTCCACCCCTCTGGGGAAAGAGGGGCAACAGAAAGGGTCCAAGTCGCCCAAACATCTCCCCCGAGCCAGCAGCGTCATTTCCACCGCAGAGGGATCGTCCCGGCGCTCCAGTGTAAACAGTGACTGCAGGGCGACGGTCAAGACTGACTCGCTCTCCGTTCAGGTTTCAGATAAGAGCAGTAATCCGGAGGAAGCACCGAGTCAACCTGAACCTGAGACCAATAACAGTGAGCCCGAGCCCATGCCTCCCGTCAAACCTCCCAGAGACCCGACAGTTGTCGTTCCCACAGATGGCCCCAAACCTCCCGTGCAGGAGTCACTTTTTGGCTCCTCTTTCACTTTCAACTCTGTTTTCTCAAACACCATTTTCAGTGATTCTGTGGTCACGACCATGACCAGTCTGGATGCCCTCGAAAACAACAAGTCCTTCCTCTGTCTGAATTCATCCCTAGTGCAAAATGGTCCACTTGAGAGCCAGAAGTTCACTCCCGACACTCCACAAACACTGCCCAACGTGGATAATGAGCAGAGTCAGAATGCAGAACATGCATCTGGGCTGGAGGAGAAGGACACGCTGCTCACATGAAAGCAGCTGTCACATCATTGAATATTGTGTCATTTAATAAAGATGGTATCTGCGAGGCCACTTTTCATCACGTCAGCAGAAGCACATTATTTAAGTCCCTGTAATGTAATATATTTTATTCCATTGACTACCTGACTATACCATAATCCTAAAAATAATTTTTAGTGACTAGATTTTTTTCTCCACACAGATTTAGAAACATTCCCAGCTTTTTAAGGCATATTCATATACCTGAGTAATAGTTCACAGTATTATCTTTCCATTCTGGTTCTATTCTGTCTTTTTGAAGAATGGATAGATGTCCTCCAGATGTCCTCCTTTGCCCATTTTGGTGTTAGGACGCAAGTCTGTTTGATTACCACATTGGAAATCTTGTTTTGTGACAATTGTGTTTGCCAAAACATTTTGTTTATTTCTTCTGTTTGTATTCATGTCCTGTCCCTCAGACAGATGTTTTAAATTATTACATGTTGATTGCTTTGTCTGTAAGATTTAAATGTGAGCCGTGAGGAAATTTGACATTAATGTGTGGGAAACTGTAAATCTTGTAAATTAGGTGTGTACCTGAATGCTATTTTACCTTAAATAAAGAAACCCTCTATATGTAAAATATGTACTTGTGTTGTCTTTGTTTTATTATACTCCATGGGCCAGACGAGATATCTTTACCATCTGAGTGGGCAAACGTTACCTTGAATTGTCTATAGGGTCAATAAAAGTGAAATAATATATGGTAGCCTTTCCACAGGGGCAGCTTCTCATATTTATTGCACATTTTGTTATATTCGCCTATTAGTGCCTTTGCATAATTTCCAAAAAGCACACAAACAGCCTATTCATTATCATGTTAATGATGTCATCTTGAACCTAAGGCAACTCAAATATTTATAAAAATAGTTCATTGTAATAAAAGCAATATGTTTGAATCTGCAGACACATGTTCTTTTGAAATGATAAAAATGCTATATGCCTTAAATCAGTATTTATATTTCTATATAATATTTGAAGATATTTTGGCAACACTTTATAAGAAGGTCATATCAACAATGCATTATAACAACATTCATTCTGTTCTGCTGTCTTTCCAAGGTCTCACAAATACACTTAAAACATCTTAAATCATTTTAAATACACATTACAAACGACGTCACCTGGTGGTTGAGTGTGAGAGACTGTGAGGGCTTGAAATGGTGTGAATACGAATGGGACAGCACTTTGCTGCAACATATCACGTTACCATGAAAACAACAAGAAATATGATGTATAATTGTGGGTATTTATTTTATACTTTGTACTCTCTGATTTGAAAGTCTTCCAGGCTCGTTCCTCACAAGATGAGAAGTGATTTCATATAATTTACTCGTTTTTGTCAAAACAGCTTCAATGATAAAATAAAACATTTGATGAATAAATGAATAAATATTCTCTGATTTCATGTTTATTTTGTTCCATCTTTAACCCTTAATGTTTCTGAGTAAAGTTGATGTGACAGGCTGAACACACGTGAGCCGTCCTCTTTGTTTACCTTTTTTTTTTTCCGTGTCCATGAGTCCACTGGTTACCCCGTGTTTAACGTCACATTGCAATGCTTTGTGGGTAATTCCCTTGGGCAAAGAATGGTGACTGGGTCACTTACTGTCAAAAAGCCAAACTACTCGCGAGCAAGGAGGTGGAAGTTTTGCAAGAGAGCAGATGAAAGCTTCGCGAGCAGAAGAGCAGTGATAGTAGTCGCGCGCTAGGGGACGCCCCTCGCGCTCAAAGCAATTTTGCTCGCGGGAGCGGAGATATTCTGCGCGGAGTGATGTGAGAGCGATCACCAAACTAATATCCATGTGCGTTTGTTTTATTTGCACGCGCTGGAAGGCAATTCTACTTACGGTTTACTGAGTATTTATGTCGGAGAAGACGGTCTAACGTCTGTGCCAAAGAGGTGCGCTTGAGCCCGTCCGGTGTTCCCATTGGATGTCATTTCAGTCACGTGAGATAACGCGGAAGTGGACCATTTTCACCCGAAAATAAAACATTCGTGGGTGGTGTTGAGTTATTCAATCTGGACCGACGTTACCCAGCTGTACTGGAGTTGTTTCATAAACTGTACCGCATAACTCGACGGTTATACCCGGTGTTTGGAACGATGCTGAACGCCGCCGCCGCGGAGAGGAACAAGGAACCCATCCTCGCAGCGCTCCGGGAGAGCGTGAACACCGGGAGATCCCTGCAGGCTCTGGAGATCTCCTCCGGTACCGGGCAGCATGTCACACACTTCGCTCAGGCCCTGCGGAACATTATCTGGCAGCCCTCAGAGTATGACCGCCAGTCTCTTGCCAGGTAAACACAGTCTGTGTGTATCAGTTAGTAAAAAAAAAAAAAATGACATCATTGTGGTACCGTATAAACAATTGATAAACTCGGTTATATACGGTATTTATTCGATTCTGCGTAGCAAACTTGAATCAAGGCACTGGCCATTGAATTTGGGTATTACGGTAGTTTATTTAATACTACTGATGCATAACTGTGTTTTGTTGTGCTTTTACAATCATGTCTTTTGTTCCTATCCTCAGTATCGAAGCGTACAGAGCCCACTACCAGCTGCACAATGTGAGGCCTGCCATCCACCTGGATGCTTCTCTGCCCTATCAGTACTGGGGAGGCATTCAGCCAGAGAGCCTCGATCTGGTCGTCAACATCAATATGATCCACATTTCTCCAATGGCTTGCACTGAGGTAGGACAGCTGATTTTTTTATAATTGCTTATATTAACACGTAATTGGTCTTATCTAACCCAAGGACCTAAGGACCTTGCCCAAAACTTCCCTGGGTCCCTCAGGACCCCTGAAGGCCCCATATTATATGTGTGGTAATTTGATATATTGCACGTTTGGTATCACCGTATGCACCACTAAAGCACAATATAAACTGAAATGTTAAAGCATCATCTGCATTGTTCCCTAATCTTCAGGCTCTGTGTCGCTGTGGGGCCCGTAGATAAAATCAAGTTTTGAGGCCTTTATTATTTGCTTTGCATTATTAAATGGTGCATATTTCTTTAAAGCATGTAATAAATCAATGCAGCATAAAACTAGTTACTCTGTGCCGTCCTAGTGGGTCAAGCTGATCCTACCCAAACATAGCTGTGGTTTAAATCTCTACCAGGGAAATGTTTAATTTCTTCTTTTAAAATTGATAACGTCTGGCCAGTTTTGTGCTGTGATCTATCGGCTGGTCCTGGTGTTTCCATTAAGCTGAAATATTCCAGCGTCTGTCCCCCAGAGTACATACACAGTATGACCCCTTTAACTCATGACTGTACCGCGATGCCTTTTTACAATTCCTGCCTCCGGTCTCTGAGTCTATAAAAGAGACCAAGAACAAAATGGACTAGAGTAGTAATCCGTCCTGCCTCTCAACCCCCACCACATGTGACGGAATCATGATTTCTTCTTCTAGGGTTTATTCAAAGGGGCTGGAGTAGTGCTGAAGCCGCAGGGCCTTCTGTTGATATATGGGGTAAGTGGAAAAAGCATGTTATAAACATGCACTTACCACATTCATGATAAGTTATTATCAAATCTAAACGTATATAATGTCAATAAATGCTACATAACATCCTTTGTTGTTCCCCTCAGCCCTATGCAGTGAATGGTCAGATCACCCCTCAAAGTAATATTGACTTTGACTACAGCCTACGGCAGAGGTAACTGGTTTTACAATCTTTGTGATGATTGTGGAAGTTAATTCTTTTGTGGCGAGATTTGAAAGGAAATGAGTGGTTTTCTTGAGCAGCCATGGATTTCACGTTGACATGCAGTAGCATCTGTTTGCTTTGTGGAAGAGAGAATAGCATTGTATAGATAATCATGAAAGCTCGTGTTCAATAAATAATGCAAACTATGAGGCTATATTTGTTTTAATCGTACAGGAACTCCGAGTGGGGGCTCAGGGATATCTCCCTCCTCAGTTCTACAGCACAAAGCAACGGTTTATTCCTGGAGAAAATGGCAAGTAAACACCTCATTTAATCATCCAATACAATTTCTTTTCCCCCTTAAAATATAAAAAGATAACAAAGTTAACAATGCAGTTATGGTAATGTCGGCCTACCGATGTCTGATTTCAAATGTTTTCTTTGCTAGGTGGACATGCCTGCAAACAACAAGTGTCTTCTGTTCAGGAAGGAGAGTTTGGTGTGAAGACTCCTGCGGTTCCTTCTCTGGGTGCAGACCAGTATTAGAGCAGGAGGGTCAAAACGCCTTAACTCACACTTGAAGCTTGGATACATTGCCAAATTTTCCAGAACTTTCAATGAATTGTTTCCCCATATTCTGAAACAAATTGACACAAATGAAGTTGTTTGATCCAAACTGAACTGCTGTAATCCATCATATATTCTTCTGTATTGGACACTTGAGTAAAAAGGCTCACTGATATGTTGTCTCTGTGCTATCTGTGCCTTGATGCAGACAACTACTCTTTCTTTTTCTTCATTCAGTTTGCAGACTGTCAGTAAAACTACGTTAGAAGAAGTGCTTTGCAAAGGGAGATATTGAAGAAGCAATGTGCTGCGCGTTAGATCTTGAAATCATACATAACAAAAGGTAACGGAAAAAAACCTACAACACACCTAAATGACAAGTCTAAAGAGCCCAATATATAATAAACACAATACAATAAAACAGAAAAACACAATATAGAGGTTATTTAGGCGTCTATTCCTATAGCGGCACAAGCTAGGCATTTTTGTAAGTTGATCAACTTGTGTGGCTACTATCTTATTTTTCAGAAACATACAGAATACATGTCAAAAGAAAGAATATCTATATTTATAGTAACATTTCAGCATTGATATTAATGGACTCACAACACACCTGGAATGTAGTACAACCTGTGTTGCAATGAATATATATTGTACATGTAAATTATATCTCATATCTACATTAACATAACATTTGCGTCATTTGATTAAAAGAGTTATTAAATATATCAGCTTGCAATTCTAATGCCCATGTTCAGTGCTAAAGGTAAAGGTGACCACAGACCCTATGTGGGCCAACGGGTCCGAGTCTTGGGACTTCTACTATACCTCACAGGTCTTTTTATTTAGGACCTCACGTAGCTTCTTGAGTCTGCGTTCAGTTATGGCTCTGACGTAGCTGTCTGATTGGATGATGGCCATGCCATCCTGCACGACACCCATCACCAGCAAAGGGTTTTCCTCCATGGTGATATTGGGACAGGGACAGCTCCAGTCTACCTTGGCAATAGTCACCTCTAGGTGTTTGGTATTGAGGAAAGTCAATCCCATCTTTTCATCTCTCAGGACCTCTTCCAAGCTAAAGCGGGCTAACCCTGAGTCCAGATCCTCCACCAGCTCTGTCAGCCGCCCCACGACAGCAAAGTCACTCCGGCACAAGCTGGGCACCATTTTCCCCTTCACCCGACAGGTCTTACAAGGTTTCCTTTTGGGCTGTGGGCAGTTTGCCTCACAATCCTTCTTGGTGCTGAAGCTGTTGGCATTCCCATGGCAGCCACCATAGGCGTAGGTCTGGCACTGTTTCAAGAGGGAATTCCAGGCCCAACGTGGCTCCCAAGATTTACAAGGGCCCTGGACAGCAGGCAGGGAGCAGATGCCCATCCCTTCTCTCTGACAGGAGGCCTTGCACTCCTCATAAGACTCAAATCGGTTGCGGCTGTCGTCGCATCCGCCATTGCTGAAGGCCATGCAGGAGCCCAGCTTGCTGTCATAATACCAGTCCACGTGACGCTCACCACTGCACACTCTCAGGTCTACTTCAGCCAGGCAGTCTGCTGGTGAGAATGGCCTTCCCATGGGCATCTCAGGGTCTTCAGAGAAATCGTCGCCGGCCCGGCGGATGACAGACAGCGGGTATTCTGCACGAAGAACTCCCACAGAATTCCGTGCGATGCATGAGTAGATACCTGTATCCCACACCTGGGCGTTGTAAATGACAAGCTGACCGATGTTGGTGATAACCACGTTGCCATACATCTGGTCAGGCCTCATGACGAGCCGCTCGCGCCTTTCCCTCCGTTTCTCCCATGTTACATCAGGTCTGGGGGCTCCAATAACGTCACAGTGGAAGCTGACTGTGCCTCCGACATAGATGGACTGGTGGTGAGGGTTGGAGTACAGTGTGGGGGGCATGGGGTCCTCCTGGGAGGATGTCGGAGTGGGGTTAGCTGTAGTGTCCTGAGGCAGTGGACTGGTGTGGGGCCCGGCCAGGTAAAAGCGGCAGGGGACCACAGTTAAAGTCACCCCACGAATGCAGGCCTCTGCGTCCATGTAGCAGCGGTTGAAGTAGGTGAGGCCGTCTGAAGCGCACGTGAAGTTGGGCTCTTTCTCACACCGGTCCAGGCACTTGCAGATGGGCTGTCCATCCCAGATGTCACAAGTCGCTCCCTGCTGGCTGCAGAGAAAGCCCTCGCAGGTAGCTGTGGAGGTGGGGGCATCACTTCCTTCTCCTCCACCCTGCCCATCTGGCTGGGCAGGGGTGCCATCAGAGAAACGTGCAGCCACACAGCTGTTGAAACCACACACGTTGGTGCAGCATTTCTCAAAGTCTGCACAGTCCTGCACACACAAAACAGCATTTATGAAAGCAGATTTAAATGAACAAAACACCAAATGAACACACGATTATAAGTTAATCAATAATGAGGATAAAATAAATAACACCACCTGATCGACGTTGCATTCTCTCTCGCAGGTGCTTTGCGCATCGACCCAGAGATTGGAATTCAGCTTGTTAGGACAAAATCCTTCGTGTTCAGCTTTGGATCCTGCCACACTTGCACACAAAGAAAGTTCGGGTAATTCGCAAACCAGGAGCATCAACAAATACGCACGTATCCATCCTATCACTAGTTTATTTGAGTTGGGTGCATTTTTCCAACTTGTATCCTTCAGACATCTATCCTCCAAAAGTTGTAGAGGGATTTTATACATTATTGCTTTTTTGCATGAGTCGCCAACCGAGTAAATCCATTCCTCCTTTAGGTTTTCAAATCTGAAATAAATCTACTGTCGATGCGCGAACGTGGTCGTCCGTTCAGCATGTGGAAAGGAGTTTGCTGCGCGCAGAGAGGAGCGTTGTAGCAATTCCAAAGATCAAGACGAGTTCCCATGCGCTGGACATGTATTGAACAAAAAATATCCAAGAAAAACGCGTGTAAAATGCAGTTTGGTTGCATGAAATATTTGCCTTGATAACCAAAACTCTTGCAACAATGGGCAAACTCTCATTCAGGGCGATTTCCCCGAACAGCGAACGAAAGTGCACAATGAGAGAGAAAGACGCAACATCAGCCTTTCAGAGAGTGAATGGAGGTGGAAAGGGCAGCCCCTCTGACCGCCCCCATGGTCCTCCAGTGTCTGGAACTCTTATGAAGCAGCACCATGCGCTAAGCAACTGGACAAACATTGTAAAATCATCAAAGAAAACGTGTGGCCGTGGTGGCAAGCTGTCCCAACAACCGGGTGCACGGAGCTACACATTCCGGTGAGAAATCCAACGTTAAACGTGTGCAGACAATATTTATAGAGGTGCCATTCATAAATAAGAGAATCAGCCGTTTTCTTCCAGAGAGCTGGTGAAGTTGTTAGTTCTATAGTTGATTTTCGGTTATAATTTAATATTATCCGCAGTTTTTAAGAAGCGTAAACTTCTGTAGACACTACTCTCTTCTTGCACAAATCACAGAGCAAACTGTGAAAAAGCGGAATGCGCCACAAACCAAACACGGGGCGTGTCGCATCATGTTTGGGCAGCAAAACATGTTTACGTCCTTCTTGTCTAGACGTCGGTCACTTTAGCTCAGAGATGCCACGGTCAGGTGGGAAGGCGTGAAGCGCCACATTTTCAATAGTGTGCGACTCATCTTTGTCCCGGCGCAGGCCTCGGGGCGGTGAGAACTAGCACCCCGCACCTTTTCATTAAAAGTGACCCCCGCAACCTCTGGGTGACTTTTGACCGCGCTGTATTCATGCGCTGCAGCGACGTGCCGGTTATCCGAAACTGGCCAATACCGAGAGAGCGGCTAATCAATTCAGCCCCCCCAAAAACCCACCCTCCCAACGGGTTTTGTTGCACTGGAGCAACGGCGGCCCTGCACTGGACAAAGGAAAGGGTACAAAAAAAAATATTCCCACAATGATAAATAAATGAAAAATCATTGCAGCAGCATATAAATTGATGAAAACACAAAGCGAACCTCTCGCTTCACCCTTTATTGTGTTGGGTGACTGTTTCAGTGGAGACAAACCGTCAGAGACACAGCTCTGATAGCAACAATCATCATCACGCGTTTACACAGAGAGCTTAATGTTCTGTTGAACTGGTCTCAACACACCACATTAAACAGGCGCTGGTAGGAAACATGCACCAATTCTTTACGGCCTCAAAGACTTCATCACAGACACAAAGCCATGACACTGGGAATGTTTATAGTGGAAATACAGCACGTTAATCAGAGGTGGAAAGAAAACTGTGTCAAATTAAAAACATTTCTGTAAATTATTAAAAGAAACATTATTAGTTACATCCAATTTAAAATCCAAGCCTTTCAGAAGTCTTCATGTTCATCTGACATTACTTTGTTCTCATAAACAACCATTCAAAGCCTTCTTAATGTACACAAATTAATCACAGGGTTAGAAAATGAGAAGTAATTTACAGTAATACCCAACGCTTAATAAGAATATCACAATATGTACCCTGTGACCTTCCACCTCTGATTCTTACAGTTTCACATATTACCACAAAATAGCAGATGAATCTGGTTTTACATTCATAAATACATTGCGTATAAATAAAAGATCCAAAAAGCAATAACATTAAAATATTCCTCTCACCAACGACTCGTGAGTTCACAAATTCCTGTTCAGGACCTACAGACACGACGGCAGCACCTTCTGAAGGCATAACGGCGTGACTGAGCAAACAATGTGCACATCTGAGTTTGTTTAAGGTTTCCTCTGAATAGCCCCGAGGGTTAACGGGTTGATAGATGGTCCTGCAAATTAGATTTAGAGGCAAAAATGGCCTGAGAAAGTCAACAGATGTTCAAACCAGAGACTGGTGGAGATGGAGGGTGGATTCATTTGGGCGGAAATTAAGGGACACCACAGGAAGTCTCAAAACAAACTTGACAGCTTCACAGATCGAGAAGTGCCAGGCTAAGAACGATTTTCAATTGTCTTGTAATTTATCTAAAATCCAGTACTATTCTGAACCCTTGCTCTTCTCACGACATTCAATTTCAGCTTTAAGTCTTATTTTTAAAAAAAATAACTGATCTGAGTTTTAAATAAGTAGCTGAGCACCGTTGAGGTTGCAACAGGAATTTTCCAAGGTAGACAAGAGCGTGAGACACACAAATAAGTTGTACACCAAAACAATCAAGACAAAACAATCAGAAGAAGCTCCTTTCCAAGATCACACACTGACCAAAACAAACACCGCACGGCACACACGGCATATTTACAACTTTAAATACAATAAACGATCATTTTCCAAATGAAAGCTTATCTAATGTCCCTCCACTCATTCGTAGTGTTAACAGGTGAGCAACAATCCTTGATTCACATCTGTTCGTCCCAGGGAACTCTTGTTTGCCTTGATAACAGTGAGCCCCTGGAGGTAAGAGAACAATCCAACCATCCGAGGCAGCTCCCAAAGATCAATGCGAGTTCACAGCTATATCTCCGTTTCTGGTGAAGACTGCTGGTGGCTCTCCGTGCTCTCCGATGGCCTTGTGACCTCTTGGAGCAACAACACCTTTAATACTGGCAACCATACGTCCACTCATCACTATGAAATCTTACAGTTCCCCTTAGAGGTTGACGACGAGCTCGTCGGAGGACTCTGCGGAGGCCTGAAGGACTTTGAGCGTTTCAGACTGTTGGCTTTGCTCCCGCCGCTGCCACCGCCCGAGGCTGCACTGTGGGCCACTGAGTAGGAGCGTCCGTGCATCATGACTGCGTTCATGCCGTTGGCCACGGAGAAAGACTTGAGGTGGGACTTGATGGCCACAGGGAGGGGCAGTTTGTCAATGAGGTGCACCGGCGTGCAGGAGACGATGGAGCGGCAGCACAGATCTTGGAGGCTGAAGACTGTGGGACAAGAAGGTGGAATATGAATGTTACGACTGGATGTCATGTCAGATGCTATCTTTTCAGCTTGCTCATAAACTATACTATGTTGCCCCTACACTGAGGTGGTGGGAGAAAATTTAGAGGTAAATATCTCAAAATTTAGAGAAATAAAACGGCAAGAGATATGAGAACCCACTCTTTTTCTACCATAGAGGGAAACAAACATATATTCCTAATCTTAAAAGAAAACAATTCTTAAACTCACCTCTGTTGGGCCTCCAGAATTTCTCCATCCCGTGCCTCATCAGCACAGTGCGTGAAAGTTCTGTGAAAGACTCGATAACGTTGAAGTTGCACAGCGGACTGACCTCAAAGAAAGTCATGCTGTTCTTCTCGGCATAGGCCCTGGCCTGCTCCGTCGGTACCTGCCGCTTGAAAGCCAGGTGAAGACGATTTCCCACCAGGATCCTGGGTACACCTGGGGCATGCTGATGGACACAAACAATATGGGAATGTGTTTAGGTCATGTAACTCTCTCTTAGACAGGATTTCTTGAAGCTATTGCACGACTAGTAGACGTTGATTTCTCTCAGGGATGAAAGGATATAGACACAAGATTGCCATACATCTCTTTTTTTTATTTATTTATTTATATATATATATATATATATATATATATATATATATATATATTTCTTTGTCATGCAGAAAACGTGTCGAATGGAGTTACCTCGTCAATTTCCCGTATCCAGCGGTCAATGCCATCAAACGACCAGGCGTTAGTGATGTCATACACAAGCAGGATGCCCTGTGGAATAAAAGCCAGACATGTTGACACATGTACAGAGTGACATAATGATGGAAAACACAAACATTGCTTTATAGTTCTCACCTGTGCTCCACGAGAGTAAGACCTGAAGATGGTGCAGAATCTGCCCTGCCCCGATGTGTCCCTGTGGAAGACACAAACGAGCATGTTACAGTGAGTACACTACTATGTTTTGCGTTTGTCCATTTCATCACTTTGGACTTGATAATTATACTTTGCTAAAACACCCACCATAACTCTAGTTTCACTCTTCTCCCATCCAGCAGAATTGTGGTGGTCTTGTAATCAATCCCTGCGATTACACACAAAGTGAGTTCATGTTGATCAATCCAGGCTTTGTAATTAATTTCTAAACAACTGAACAAAAGCAGAGATAGGTACTCACCACTGCTGTAGGCATAAGGAGACTCTACTGATCCGTCTTGTAAACTGTCCAAGATTTCTCCTTTTCCAACATCGCTGTCTCCCACCAAAAGAAATTTCAGGAGATAATCGTAACTCTTGACGGGACTAGTCTGTGTGCCCATCATCCCACGCATTGGATCCGGTTCACAGGCAGCTTTTAAGCCCGCCAGACGTCCACTATTCGGGGCAAGGGACAAACCAAATGGTCCCTAAACTGGTAGCTAAAGCTAGGCGACCGCCGTTGACGTTAGCTAAACAGCTAACAGGTACACCACCCAGGATTTACATTAACTCTGTTCTTTGTGAAGTCAATCAGATAAAAAAAAGACTAGTTCGTCAGGAATATATCGAATAAACTTTTCAAAGTGCGTTAGTAGCACTTAAAGCTCAGCGCAGGCACGTCGACGTGACGTTAATGTTCACATTAACAACCAAAACAACCGTAGCTAGCTGTTAGCTAGCACCAACGATAATAACAGATTCCAGTGCAAGCAGGTGACACAAAGTAAACACGAGGCTGCTGAGTCCCACATGAAACGATAATCTGCCAAATCAAATACGATTGTTTCACTTTGTTTATGAAGAAAAAAGACAACGAGGGACACTGAGCTTCCGAGTACAACGTTTTGCCAAGGGGACTGCGTTGGAACTTCCTGGTGTTGACGTCATCAGCCACGTAATATCCGGGTATGATTTATAAAATAAAACAACCTCCAAAAATGTTATTCACTTTTTTTTATTTGTCGGATTTAATATTCACCAGCCAAAGTTTTCTAAATGTCCCTCACATTCTGAATTCACTTGATCTTTTGATTTTGGATTGCTCTTATTGATGTTATGTGTAGCCTACATATAACTCAATTTAAAACATTTTAATAAGATACGATTTTTTATTGAAGCTTTTAATGTTATTTTATCCCTCAATTGATTTAATACATAATACTAATACAGGTCACTTTTTCTTATATATTTAAGTAGACACTACTTAGTCTTACTTGAGTAAATTTAATTTACTGATTTAATACTTATTTTCTCCAATGTAATGCAAAAGAAAATGTCACATTATGATATACCTTACAAAGGCACACAGGTGTATGAAAATACAGAGATAGTGTGATTATTATCGGTCTCCTCTCATTGTTTGCTCATGATTGGCATTTGCAGCAGATGTCGGGAATTCTCTGTTGATTGCAGAATACAAAAGCCAGCTGAAACACACTTTAGTTCATACACATCTTTTTATTTGTCACCAAAGCAATTCCTTCAGCATTTGAAGGTCTGCTAGAATATACTATAGGCAAGCATTCAATACGCATACAACAAGTATTCTCAGGAATTCATCACTTGTGTATTTAAACCGCTTATTGCTCAGGTAGGGATCAATTATTTCCCTGCAAAAAAATTTTTTTTTTCAAACCCAATCACAGAAAATGGTGACCATTTGTAGCAGCCCTGCTTAACTTTGAAAGTACCTAAAATTGTCCAGTTACTGACATTTCTCACTTTGCCGCAGCATCAGGGAACGAAATCATCGGTGTCAGCGTTGGTGCCTTGATCTTCAAGGACACGGTTTCCACTCTTCATCACAGGTACTGTGAAGAGCAAGTGGTACAGAGCTCTAGAATGTCAAATAAAAACGTGTTAACTCCCAGATCCAATGTCTTTCAGCAACTCTACATGCACTGTGACTTCTCTTTGGGGAAACTTACTCCAGCTCAGAGTTCAAAGGCTGATAACTGTTTATACTTTAGGTGGAAGGTGCTGTACGGTGATGACTCTGTGTGCACCTGCTGTGACTCAACCTGCTCCACGGCAATGGCAAAAGGTATGTTTACACATGATCTTTAACTTTAGCATCAATTCATAAAGCATTTCACTGTCATGTACAGGCAATTTTGATGCTAATCCAATATGCTTATCCTTTTTTTTGACAATGTGGTACTCTTGAGATGTAAACTTTATTTTTTTTGTGGAGGAGTAGTAGTAGTAGTAGTAGTAGTTTTGTCTTATTTCAAATGTGAATTTTAAAAATAAATTGCTAATCTCTTGTATCTGAAGTTTCCATTGCAATAGTCATGAAGTATGGACATGATTCACCTTGATCTTAAGAGTGACCAGATTCAAAATATATCTTAGACTGCACACTTAAGGCTACTGATTTAATAAACGAATGGAGCTGTTAATCAAGATAATCATGTATCAGCATGTGTGCATTTCTAAGCATTTCCTGGAAATGCATCACAGCATTTTTGTAGATACAGTTGTGGACCACAAGGGGGTGGAAGAGATTCACGGTCTTTGCATGAGTGTATTCAGCAGGAAGTTCAATAACTCGCTGTCTTAAAGGGTTCCCAATAAGAACATGCTGCAGCAGTTTTTTATTGAGGCTTCTCTCCATGAAGGCCAGTAAGTCTCGTAGCCTACAAGCCACAAGATTTGGTTTCCACTGTGATGGGTCTTTGGTCAAAAGCAGATGCATTAGTGCAGCTTTGAAATGAACATCCTTGAGAGCACTGCTTCCTAACAGTGCTGTCTGTCTCTTGTGAAGGAAAAGTGCAATTTCAAGAGTTTGTCTGTGGCATGAGTTTACAGGCAGGCGTTTAGAGATGTGCTCTAACAATCTATCTTCATAGCAGGTCAGGGAGAGTGTCCAGGAAGTATCCGAGTTGTTTGGGGAGCAATGAGTAATGAAGAAATGGGCATCAGTGTTGACTTTAACCACAGGACGCATACTGAAGCTAATCTTCTTCCCTGATCTGAATCTAACTATCAGAGCACCCGGAGCGTTAATGTAGCTAATGTTGAGCTCAAACTCGTACTTGTGTGAAATCTGTTCCCACGCTTGTTTGATAGTGCTCTGAAACCATCTGGTAACCAGTGATTTTGAAAGGAAGGGCGAGTTCTTCATGCAAAGAAGGACATCACGAATATCAGTCGTCGTCGTCTTCACACTCTCAGCCTCACAATGCAGCAAGCACACCATATCATCTGAATTAGGAGACTGACAGTGGCAGCCATTTTGGATTTTCTCATCTTCCACCAGTTTGATTTGACCACAGGCTTGCATATCTGGCAGCAGGTCATTTGGCTCACTGTTCCACAGCTGACACTGGAAACTGTATGGATGAGGGGGGGTGAAGGGGACGATGATGTCGCACACATCCACTATCTGAAAGTCCTCAATCACCATACCACCATTGCTATCACAGGCGGTCCTCATGGCTGCAAACAGATCCTTTGTAAACCCCTCCAAGAACTCCTTCCACTTCTTATCGGAGGAGACTTCCAAACATTTAGAGTGAAATTTCTGCAGAGTGTCGTTGTCTGGCAGCAGTGCTTCAGCAGTGGTGCAGGTCCCTGGGAAGGCCTTGGTTTCTTCTTCTTTCATTTGGGATTGTTTTCTTCGGTATTTCCTAAAGAAGCAGATCAAAGAAATGATGGAGAGTATGTTCCATGTGTAGCAGAGGAAATCCCACTCCCAGTCAGTGATGTCCTCTGAAGTTTCATTTTCTGGTGTGATGACGTGACAGTGTGACGGAGGTGATTCTTGTTCTTTGGGGCTGAACACTTCCTTCTCTTTAGGCTTTTCGTGTTGCCCTTCTGGGGCTCCATTTTGCTCACTGTCAATTTGTGAAGTCTTCAGAGCAGTCTCAGGTTCACTTTTGGAGTTTTGAGGCCAACTTGGATCTGAATTTTCTTTAACTTGTCCTCTTTCTGATGAGTTGTGATCAGCAACTTCCTCCTCTGAATCTTGATGGATGACAGACACACCTTGTAAGACTGACATCGTGTCTTTTTCAGTCACACGTTGATCAGACTCAATGTTTTTTACATCATCCTGAGGCCCTCTTTTATCAGTATGTGGGATTTCCTCCCTGACAGGTGACATTTTGTGGTCCAGTTTCTCTCCTCCCACCAACAGCCTCTCTTCATGCTTTTGCATGCCCACTGTGGTGACCTCATCCCATTCCTCAACTCCGGGCTGGTCCCTCGGATACGTTAGGAGACCCAGAGCTACCACCAACACTCGCAGCAGAGTATCTGGCATCGTCAATACTGTCTGTGAATGAGATAGACAGCATAAAGAATTGTTAAAAATAATTTCAGTCATTTTGAAAAATGCATTAGTGTTCTTCAAAAGATGTTTAAGAAAACGGGAGAAAGAAAAAAAGGAATAGAATAGAATAGAAGTCCTTGCAAATACGTGAAAAATGTGAGAAATGTTCCTGCAGGCAATGATGATGCAAAGCAAAGAAAGAAGCTACTTCCTCGGTGGCCTGGAAGCATCCTCTCTACTCGTTTCTGTGATCACATTGTATATAAAACATCATTTATTACTGCACTTATTAACATTAAAGAAGAAGAAGAAGAATACACACCAAAAGAAGTGATTAGTTATCTCAGCTTTGCGATGTTCCGGTAATGCGTGAATTATTGGTACAAAGGAGGAAGCAAGAGACGAACCTCGCACAGCCACAGGCTCAGTGTTCTCTTCCTATTTTAGATGTCATCGCAGGTCTTCTTTCGTGACTTGTTTCCTGCACACCCTGCCCATCTGCTCTGCTGTGACACTTTCCGGTGCGATACACAGAAGCAAACAGATAGCACAGACTTCCTGTAAGTTTAACTGCATATTCATAATAGTATGAAGTGAACCAGTGAGTCACTGAATGAATCAAAAGGTTACAGTATATTTTTTGTAATTTAAAGGACCAACCATTAGGCCATCTCACTATTGTTCAAATGAAAACAATGTATGGAAAATGGTTTGCATCTATGAATAGCATGTAAGCCCCGGCCTGTCATCCTCTCGTGGGCTTCTAACTGGTTCGTCGAGCTCTGCCTCACTCAGCGGCTGCAGTTGCCTTGATATTTTGCCCGAGATAAGCTTTTGATTTATTTGGTTCTGATGAAGCAAGTGGAAACAGATTCACCCTTCCCCGCGTAGACAACGACCACATTTTCCAGCCAAAGCCACGGATATTTGAATGTATTGAGATCATCTTTGCATGTCAGGATTGTTTAAACAACACTGCATCCCAGAGGTCCAGGTGACTTGAATGAACACAACCACATACGAACGTCACATAAGAAAGAAAGACAAAGAATAGTGAAATGGATGCATTTCAAAAGGACCAGCTGGAAGTGTGTTTGTGAGAACGGTAACAGGTTTACTTTTGAGTAAAATGTGCACTGAATGACAATCTGTTGTTACATCACACTGAACACCTGTTAAGGGAGGGGCATGGTGACAGATGATGTGGTCGGCTTTGAACATCACCACAGAGAACTCGAGAAACACCTTTCAGTCAGTCCGAGCTACAATGTCTAATAAGTATATAAAGAACTACCATGGACCATCTTGTTACTGTATGATATTTGTTCCTCTCCTTCTGTTCATCCAACGTTAAGAAAATAGGTATGTGTGTTTTTATGTTTCTTTCTGATCAATGATTTATGCCTGACTTTGTATCATAATCTCTGTATCAAACTGATGAAAGATGGTTGAGAAGAACAGTTATAGTTCACTATCAGCATATGATATTCTGGTACCACTTTCTAAAAAGTCACCAATATATGACCAGCTTTATCAATGTATTTAAATCCTTTACGCTTTAAAGTAATACGCCTTTATTAAGAACAACTTTTGGATTGCCGGGTTTGGTGAAGTCTCTCTGTCTGCTAAACCTCTGCAGAGCATTGCGATCATATTTTATAACTACTTATTGTTAACAGTCTTGGATTATTATTGTAACACCTTCTATGAATGAGTTATTAACACTTGTAAATACTAACATTTGCTGTAGGATTATTAAAAAGTGAGAAGTCTTTGGCCCTTTGTTAGTGACTTATCAACATTCATTCAATGTTATATGGTGCACAAATCATTAATAAAGCCATTAGTTGCAATTAATAATCCCTGTAGAGGGTACGATGAGAGTGGTTCTGGCTAAACCTTCATTCAACACAATACGGTGAAACATGTTCTCAAGCAACTTACTGTATATGCGCTTTTTCTTCCACTGATTGATTTCAAACTTCAGACTGCACTTGCTTTCATAGATACAATTCCATCCGAACCAAAGATCCACCACATCTCCCAAAATGGATAAGTTTCGTATGATGTTCCAGTTCCTCCAGTCCAACCAGGAATCCTTTATGAACGGGATCTGTGGCATCATGGCACTGGCTAGTGCACAGATGTACTCTGCCTTTGAGTTCAGCTGCCCCTGTATGCCAGAATACAACTACACCTATGGCATCGGACTGCTCATTATTCCAACGATATGGTTCTTTCTGTTAGGTTTTGTAATGAACAATAACGTGTCAGCGCTCACAGACGAATGGAAAAGACCCACAGGGAAACGAAGCAAGGATCCAACAATCCTCCGCTACATGTTCTGCTCAATCACACAGAGATCCTTAATAGCACCTGCAGTGTGGGTGTCTGTCACTCTCATGGATGGGAAGAGCTTCCTCTGTGCTTTCAGCATCAACTTGGATATTGACATGTTTGGGAATTACAGTCTGCTGACGGGGATGTCAGAGGTGGAGAAGCTCAGACTGCTGGCGAGGATTCCATGCAAAGACCTATTTGAGCATCAGGAAGTAAGAGAGGCAGCATCACGATACATCAAGTGTATATCACAGGTAGGCATCTGATTTATTTCCCCCACACTTTTCTGCGTTTTAACTTGTATTAAAATTAGAGGTAATTAGTTTGCATGCATGGAGATAAAAATGTAAAATTTTAAAGACCAAACGTCAGTTAAATGGCACATTTAAGAGGAATTCTGGACTGAATGTGAAAAATAACTCTGAATAGACGTGGCTACTACTGTTAGCTATAAGCTAGCATGGTTGTTTGGAGATTTAACTGTATTTTTAGATGTAACAACAAGAACATTTCATCAGTAAATCTGTTGTCATCAACTTTAGGTCTTTTTCACATGCAGAAGACATTTTGAAATATGAGGGTGTAAAGAGCACAGGTGTAAATAATAAAATGCCTGGTGGCTAAATGCCATTGCTCTGCTTCAGATTCAGGGTTCTGGTGTAAATGCTGGTTCGCTGTCACAGCTAACTGGGACACTTGACTTGAAGAGAGTGATCATTAATGTTAATTGTAAAACCTTTATGACAAGTAAAATGACTGCTGTGAAAAAGGCCTAATGAAGACACCGGCCACGTCCTCAGAATTAACCTGTGGATTTCACGACAGAAACATTGTTTTTAGTATTTGGGGAATCTCTGACTATAAAAGCATTTGTAGTCTATAGACAGTGTGGCCAAAGTTGGGGACACTTTCAGCAGGCAGTTTTCGAACTTCATCGCAGGAAATGATGACGAATCAAATTCAATTTCCCTTGCTTTATTCCTTAAAAACTGTATTTAACTTAAATCTCCCCACCCGACTCTAGCCTTGCACTTTGAGCTCACTGAAGCTTTCCTGTTCGCTTATTAGAGGAAAAGATAAGCCTCTAAATTTATTATTCATGGCACTGGGACCTATTTCAATCCATCCAAAAACACCCACACTGTTATTTAGGTCTTTGATCAGCCTGAGGGCATTCATGCAGGCTTAAAAGTAACATGTCTCTGAAAAGTCTCTTGATATTCTATTCTGTTAACGAGCTATGAAACTGTCAGAAAGCTCCTAGATATTTATCACACATTGGAGTATGTGACTTCCACGATCTTCAATATCGGCAAGAACACAAACACAACAAAACATCAGCCAGATTCTTAACCAAAGTCCGTCTCTCTGGTTTTTATATTTAATGCTCATTTGGCCTCACCAACACATTTAATAATGTCTATATTTTTTATATTTTACAGGCATGCGGATGGATGTTCCTGCTCATGATCACCTTCACGGCCTTCCTTATCCGAGCCATTCGACCATGCTTTAGTCAAGCTGCCTTCCTCAAGACCAAGTACTGGTCTCATTACATTGAGATCGAGCGCAAGATGTTCGATGACACCTGTAAGGAGCACGCCAAGAGCTTCGCCAAGGTCTGCATCCACCAGTACTTTGAGAACATCAGTGGGGAGATGCGCAGCTTCCACCACCATCGCTCCGGCAAGGACGACAGCGACGACGAAGACGAGGATACGAGGAGAAGTGATGAAGACAAGCTGCTGGGTATCAGGGCCCAGGATGATATGAACAAAGTTTTGTGGAACTGGCACGCCTCTAAACCAGCTCTGGCTCTGAGAAAGGACCAAATGGACAGTGAAAACAATGGCAGACTGAACGGAGAGGCCAACGGAGCAGCAAATGGATTTGCAAAGGGACACACCCCTGACGTGGAGAAAAGGGAATGGGCGGTGTATTACAGTAAGGTCTGACGAGTTCACAGGGACAAAGAAAAGCTGGAATTGGCTCTTCTTTAACTCTCAGACAGCTGTATCGTCTCAGGAATCATTTTGTTTCTATTAGCTAGTATTAGTAATTTACCAAAGTTAGTTGAAAAATGTAATTTAATAAGAATTTTCCTTCAATGCCCAGAACATATAAATTAATACAAATTAAATTCACATTCACTGTTTGACTGATAGTATACTTCAGCATAACAGCATGGTCAACATAATTCTGGTTCACTTCAGTTAGTTCTGGGTGTTTGTTGTTTTTACTGTTGTCACAACTATTATTATTATTATTTACAAGTCATGAATTACTGAAAACAACCTGCCACTGCTCTCCGAGTATCACAAAATATGAAGTCTGCAAAGACTAGGCTGCTGCAGAAGTCGTGCTGCTGTTTAGCAAAGTATTATGATACACACTGTACAGTTTTCAATGATCGACAACACTTGTGAATGTTTGTGTTGCTCTCAAGTGCGGGGCCACCATGAATATACCCCGGGGCACAAAGCAGAGTGTTAACGTGGATAATATCAGCAAAGAAAACAGCTCCGTGCACGTCAAGCCCCCCGCGGCTTCTTGCTTTAAAGAGAGATTATGTAACTTTTGAGAGAGGAAATAAATTACTTTTTGCCTTACAAATGAAAAGTTGAATTAATAAACGATAGAACGCACTCTTTCTCAATTCAATACACTAAGAAGATTTGCTGCTGAAGCCGTGCCTGGTCAGATATGCTTATGGTAGCTCTTCTGGAAAATGTTAGCAGTTAATTAGCGAGATACTGCTGTAAAACTGACATTACTGAGTCAGTTTCCGTTGTCCCGCTTCAACACTTTATCTGAACTGGCCCATGTAACAGGAGTTTATCAGTGTTTATCTGCCTTTTTTTGAAGTGACACATTTATATAATGTAATTTATTATACTTTTAAGCACATTTCTGGTCTTAAACCTTGTTATGAGCAGATAAACCTACAATGTAACTTTATGTCCAATCAGGCAAACCTATGATTTATGCAAAAACAAAAGGTCGGGACAGCCAAAACAATTTACATGTCACTAAGAAAACCAGGCCAACATTTGCATCTCTCTTGCTCCCTCATTTACTTGCTCAGTTTCGTCAGTAAAACATTAAGGAATTCTCCTCTATGTTGGAAAAACGGCCTTTCATTTTATTTTACAGTCATTTCTTCACAGTTGAACCTTCCTATTGTCAGGAAGCTCTTGATACAATGCTGTTTCATCCTATTTCACAAGAGGGCGTGCTGTTAACCACCATCCTTCACATGCCAACAATGACAACACAACCCTGTAGCTACAACACAGCTCTCATTTGATTCTGAAACCTGTAAACATCGAGCAGTGCATGCATCTGTGAGGTCAATCCAGTTGTTCGTGTATTCAGCAGTAATGTCATTACTGGAGCAGGAGGGGAGGAGGGGAGGGTGAATGAAAATGGCATGAATCCTATTGAAGCCTCTCCCTCCCTCCCTCCCTCCCCCCTGGGGATTGGTGAAGCAGCACTCCCCTTGACCGTCTCACAGCTTGCCCAGTGGCCCAGCAGCTGTTCTCTCCCTCAGCGATTTGGCAGCCAAGGCCGCTGGTGTGGGGGTGGACGTGCAGGCAACGTCTTTGTCCGGGCTGTGACTTTTCTCTCCGTGTCTCCCTGTTTTTCCCTTTATGTCTCACTTCCTGCTTTGTTCCCTCTGTCGACAGATGTCTCTTCCCCTCTTCCCTTCTCTTTCTGCCTTGTTCTTTCTTTGCAAAAAAGTGTGACATGAGTCAATAGATCAAACAAAGCAAACATGAATAATAATCAGCAGTAGATCTAAAAATACAATCTCTGTATGTGTGAAGGAAGGGAATGGTGAACGAGGTTGCATCATCTGTTCTTTTGCTGACCTCCACTTCGCAAAAATGGCTTTGTTTTGGTTGTCAGGACATCAGCCATGCGCATGCTACTGGCGGGGGCCTCCCTCGACTTTGCTGCAAATGTCTCTTCTCTCCCTCTCACATATACATGCACAGGGGCGTGCGCATGCAGACACATACACATCAGCATGCTTGCAGGCGCCCTATTCGTCAGTGTCAGGCTCATTCTGCCTTCCTTCTGCCTACAGATTGGAGGACTGAGGTAGCGAGGGAGGGCTGAGGGAGAGGAGAGTTGCGAGGCAAAACGGCTGGTCACATGAGCAGAGATCTGTTTACAAACCCAAGGCAGAGCAGAGCAGGAGCAAGGGAAGGAAGGGAAAGGCGAATTGCAGGCTGTCTCTGAGCAACATTTGGGATTGAAAGAGGAAGAGGGGAAGCCTGCCCTGACAAAGCCAGCTGGAGGTGGGAGAGTCTGAAAACGACACACGCAGACACACTTCTGCACACACACCACCTTTGTCTCTGTTTTTTTTTCTGAATAGAAGGAGCAGATGGTTAGAGGGAGAGTAGGATCCCCCCCTCCCTACACGCGCACACACACACACACACACACACACACACACACTAACTGACACACAAAACACAGGCTCACCAGCAAAACACCATTCCCAGCTAGAGGACTGTTGCTGACTGCATGGAGCCGTCCTCACTTTGTTTGGGCTTTGAGGAAAGCAGCACATCTTTGCCTTCCACACTGAGGAGGAATACCCGCTGCAAGATCAGAGGACTGGAGGAGGAGACAACAGAGGAGTGGGGGATGAGACTTGTGAAAATCCTCTGTTAAAAGAAGCAGCTTTGGGAGGAAGACAAAACACAGACTAATGCCAGATAATTACCTTCATTGGACGAGCATTCTCAGTTTGAGCGGTGGATGTCATTGAATTTGGTGAGGGGACAACACTGCAGACACAAAGTCTAGAGGCCCATTCCTGCTGGAAATGTAAGTATTTCCTGTTATCAAGCAGCCTGTGTTGTTTATGACATTGTGACTGAGTGAGATTCAGCTTTTCACAATAACGACTCCTGAATAACACATGGTACGAGGCATCTAATTAACAATCAGCTCTTGTCAACAAGATTTCTTTGTTTCTTCTTCTCTCTCCCGTGATGACATCATTCTCACTGGAATCCAGGAGCCCATGAGATCTTCGCTCCCGGTCCAAACCCCAGTCTTAAATCTCCCAATCCTTACACGGACTGGTTAATCCAGATTTGGGGAATGCTGGGCAGTACAGACTGCTGAGCCAACAAAACTGAAAATCTCGATTTGTTGTTTTTTGAGAAGCTGACACAACCCAACAAAAGAGCGATCCAGCTGAGAGGGACTCGATCCAGGCTGTCCGTAGCTTCGGCCCACGAGCTTGGCTCCTCTCCAGCCTTCTCCTGACGGGGCCTTGATTTACTGCTGCTGCTCTGGGAGTTCAATTTCATGCAACCATTCCAATGGTGTAACGGTAAGTGAGTGTATTTCTCTGCTGTCTGCCAAATAAACAAGAGGCAGTGGCGCGTGTACTTACTCGTGTCTCATAAACTCAGTTACTTAGTTGCTGGCTTGTGGGATCCCCGTAGTGGGCATACTATGGTAAATCACTGAGAGAGAGGAGGCCTCACTTAAAATACAAGAATAATTCAAGGTCATGTTTGTTTGAGAGCCATGACACCTGAAAACTGAAGAAATTGTTTTCACTAACTTTACTACATTCTTGTTTTGTTGCTGTTGACTGACTCTGCAGTGCATCCATTCCTGGTTCATGATTGTATCTCTCATTATGTTACCCAGGTCTTCCCTACACGAACCCCCTCCCCCCCCCCCCCCCCCCCCCCCCCCCCCCTTCTAAATCCCCCAACCACCCAGCCATGTCAAATTATCCAACCCATACCCCCCACAGGGTGCAAGCTGTACCCATTCATTCACTCTAAAGAGAGACACATGGACATTTAGAGGCTGGCAGAGAACATCCTCGCTGCAAATTAATAGGAACACATGTGGCCTGTGGAAGTGGGGCTTCCTCTGCTATTGTTTTACCATCCTTTAGTCCCCCGAGTTCAATCTGTTTAATATACACCAACCCCCTGCCACCTGCAACACACACACACAATTCAGACAGGCGCTAGACATCCCTACCCTTCCATCCCCCGGCGTTAACACACACACACACACACACACACACACACACACACACACACACTCTACCAGTCACCTCTATAGAGTCTGTGGAACAGATGGTGGTAAAGTGGAAGTGGTGTCTGTCCTCCATGTTTGTCTTGTTCTGCAGCCAATTAACGCACAGTCCTGTGATGGCCTCAGTTGCCACCACAGTGTCAGTCACAGCTCTCTGGAAACACCTGCATCAAAACAAACACCAACAATTATGTAAAACTCATCGCCAAATATCTTATAAAACTCTTGATTGTGTGCACATGAGCCAGAGGGCCTCATCGTCATTGTCAAGCAGACATATGGTGACGTTTTGTGCCTGTTGGCAGCCAGAAACTCACAGCATGGGATGGTGCTGTAGATTCATGTTGTAGTTAATCTACTTGTCTGCCATGATTCCTCGTGCTCCTCACTGTAGAGTTGGAATTACTGCTTTCAAATAATATTCATTCCATGACCAGGGAAAATACTTTCCACAGATCCCAGGAGCTTCATAACAGAACAACCGTCTGCACAAATTGCAGCATCTTAAAGTCAATGCTCCCAATCAGGACTTGAACTGTCAATGCTAACATCTGAATGCTGTAAATCTTGGGGGAGCTTTGGTCTTTGTTATGGGAAACAAAATAATTTAATTGTTTTCGGTAGCTCTCTATTTTGAGATGGAAAATGCAATTTCAAGACTGAGATTGTAAACAAACTAAATAAAATACAGAAACATATAAATAAAAAGGTGTTATTAGAATGACAGTTACTCCTTTACATTCAACCATATAAGAAATATAAATGTGTGTTAAGCATCTAATATATATCTGCAAACTCTTCTTACCAGGATGCCTGTGTGGTTTGGGTTCTCAGCGCTCTGAACACTACTGCAGCATGACGTCTGACATGTATCACCTCCCGCTCAATGTGTTCGTCATCGTCCTGGGCATCGGCCTCTTCGTCTTCATGCTCAGCCTCATCTTCTGCTGCTACCTTTTCAGGTAGGTGGGGGAGGTTTGGGGGGGGGGGATCTGGGGAGAGAGTAAGGAAGGTACACAAGAAGCAGGGGAAAAAGCAGAACGTGCAAAAAGACAATTGACATTGCAACACAGTGTGCCACAGCAGGTTAAAACTAATTCAAAATGAGCTTGGTAATAAGATCTTAATATGTGATGATAGCAGCAATAATGGTGCAAATGTATGTGGTGGTGCCCTGTAGAGCTGCCAACGTTGCTACATATGGTCTATAATTGTTTGACAAGAAAAACACATCAATCTATGCTAGTAGCTATATATGCATATGCACGTTAAAGCAAAAGCAGGGCTATTTAATATGATTAAGAATAAGTCATATAGGCAGCTATTTTTAGTAAAAGGCTCTAAAACTCAGTACAAGCCACTCCCGGCCCAGCACCAAACATTAGACAGACACAGCTGTCATTAGCTAGACCAGAAAAAGTTGTACAAGGAAAGTAAATATTGGACTCAAATGAATGCTAATGTTGCTCTGCTGTTCAGTCAAACAGTGGTTTTCACTCAGATGGCTTTATTTGAATAAACAGAGACCTGATACAATAATTCACAAGAAAGAAACAAAGTTTAGAGAAGAATTTTGGTATTTTTTTCTTATTATTATCTACCAGGGTGATCATCTTGCTTACCCTTAAGATTCATCTCGCGAGCCTATGCTGGGCCCCGACCCCCAGGTTGGGAACCACTGACTAAAGTTACAGTTGTGATGTATGTCACTATGTATGTTAGTTAGGTCACTCCTACCGTACAGATGTTCTCCTCTCTCTGCCTCACTCAGGTTGAAACAACAAGGAACAAGGGAGCAGTTCAGCTACAATGAGGTATGTAGTCACTGCAGTACATGTCACACCAGCTTCTGAGGCAGGTTATAAATAGGCTGCTAATATAGCATTTCCCACTGTTATTGTGAACTGTGCAACCATTTATACATGACCTTGACTTCATCCATGTCCTCAGCTGCCCCCTGATTCACAACCGTTCATGCAGCTGCAGTGTGAACACGCCTGGCATGGTGAGCAGGTAGCAGCAGGGTGTCACAATGCTTTGTGGTGACAGTTAGTGACGAGGTTTACAGCTCAGGGGAAGGTTAAACTCCAGCTGCAGCCGGCTGCATTATATGTATTCATAATGGGTTTTTTTAAACAAATAAAAGAGTACACGCCCCTCTTGCAAATGTTTTTAAGCTAGTCACATCAGCACATTGAACCCATCTGAAATGTTTGTTTTACACCATAGATTTTCTGCCAACATAACTGTGTGCTGACACATCAATCACGTGGCAATATTTGTCTCCTTCTCCTTCTCCCAACTGTAGGTGGTGCTGAAGGGCACAAGCAAGAAACTGAGCCTTCTAGGAGTAAGTCATTATTGCTGCAAACGCTTTTACGCATTTCTTGTGTTAAACATAATACATGTAATGAGCTGCATCACACACGTGCAGCGTTGCACATTTCATGACCACAATGCTTCTGTGGCGGCTCAGGTGACCCATTCTGGGCTTCGGTTGGATGCGATCAAAGTGCTGCACACACACTGCGAGGAGATGGCCTGAAAATACCTTGCATCTCAAATGCAGCTATTTAAAAAGAATGTCAGAGTGCCTGCTTGGCTTTCTTCTTGGAGCAGAATTAGGACTCCAGGAATAACTGCACTCATTCAAAATGCATTACAAAAAGATCTCTCTCGTCTTCTGATTTCTAAAAATATTGCTTTTCCAAGTTCTGTTGGTCGGTCATTCTCATTGTTAATTTAATGTCTCAATCTCTGTACAAGGGAATGTTGAAATAATACTGTTACTAAAGATAGTTAAGGTAAAAGCATTATTTCAAAACAAGCTTCTACTTGTGTTATGTTATAAATCTAGGTCACAATTAATGTATTGCTCAAATGTATCTCATTGAATGTGACACATCGAGGTAAAATAATAATCTGATCACAAAAACTAACCTTGTGTTTGTGTTTTGTTCTTGCAGCAAACCTGCGCGGTGTGTCTGGAAGAATTCAGGACCAGAGATGAGCTGGGAGTTTGCCCGTGCTCACATGCATTTCACAAGAAGTGAGTGTTATAAAACTACATCGTTTGAAGATTTACTAAGTGCTCTTTTAAAAATGTTTCCTCCTTATCCCATGCTAATCTAAGAAGATGCCACAAACCACCATAACGATGGCTTCCTTTCAGTCCATATGGTGTCAAATGAAGTGTCTCCTGTTAAACTAGATTACATCGTCACTGTTTTTAAGCTAACTGTTACTTGTCCCATCAGGTGCCTGCTGAAGTGGCTGGAGATCCGCAGCGTGTGCCCCATGTGTAACAAACCCATCCTCCGGCTCCACACAGACGCTCCCCAGGGCGCCGAGAGTCCACTGGACCCGGAGGAGGTGTGAGGGAGCCGGGAGAGACGAAACAGGACTCCCTTTACAGAAAAACACACACATTAAATACACTAGGGATGATGGGCGGCGGTCATCTTAAAGACATCTCACAAGAAATGTTGACAGTGAGCCCAAATGGCTCGCCCTGCTGCTGACCTTTGAGCAATATGCCTTCATGGGAATTTGATATTGACAGCGCCAAAATGATCTGGTCAGATCAGTTAGGGAGTGGGTGGATGAATAGGATCTTTTCATTAAAAACAAAATAAAAACGCTCCTAGTTCTACTTCCATATTGCACCAAAAAACATGTCAGGCAAAGGGAGCCACATTAGAGAGCAGGATATCATTGCCGCTGTCACTGCCAGAGACAAACTACACTACAGGCAGTGAGCGGGACATCAGGATCAGTTTGGATGCCTCTCATATCTCAGGGGTGTCACCAATACAGCCAGCACAAACCATGTCAGTCACCCTATAACCCTGTGCCACACATGCATCTTCAATACTGCCAACGTAGGTGAAACGCTCCAGAGGTCAGAGGTTAGCCACGACCTCCAGCTGAGACCAAGACCAGCGGGATTACAACCACGACGAGGAGTTCAGTAGACGATATTGTTACCGATTGTGTCCCATGCCCTTCCCTTTTAAAGAGACTGATAGAGAACTAGTCTTGCCTGTATGTAAACATGTCCCTATATATTGTTATTTTGTATTTGTTGCTTTTAAATAAAACGTCACGTAATGTATTGTAATGGTGTCGGATTTATTGAAAGGCTGGACAGATGAATAGAAAATGCTCCCACAAACGTTTGAATGAAAACACAGTAAATTAATCGTTATAACAGTAATTATTCTCTTCATAGCTCGTTCTCGTGACTATAATGAAACATCAAATACCAGTTTCTTTGAACATTTACAGATTGTTCCAACACATTTCACAAACGTTGGACTTTTAGGTTCAGAAGTCTCCACAACAATAAAAAACAAGCTGAGAAGTTGATCATTTTGAGGAGGAACCTGTCTGAGCATCTGGAGCCACAAGCTTGTTTGTGAACAGGTGTGAAGCTCAGACCGGGTTCAGCAAACTGCAGTCCACACACACGTACACAACGTGTGTATTATTGTGTGTATTATTGTGTGCATTAGTTGGCAGCCTCGGTGCCTTTATCTTCCACAAACTCCATGGCCTTCTCTTTGACTGCCTGGATGCTCTGCGGGGTGCCGTGCTTCTTCTCGTACTCCAAATAGCGCTTGAAGAAGAACTTGATCTTTTTCACTGAAACACTCAGGTGGATCACGCGATCAAACAGCGCCCTGCAGGAGACGGGCAGTTGGAAACCTTTATGTTTGATCATAAAACTGGTCTTAACACAGTTAACCATCAGTCGTTGTCATGTAAAGCATTAAGGCTCATTAGTTTACACAGGGCAGCATATCTTTACAAAGAAAAGATTTAAGGAATGAAACAAAATGTGTTAAAAGTGACAATGGGGGGGGGGGGTCAGAAAGGAGAGTAAGGGCCTTGGCTCACCTGACTTCCTTCTGTGAGCCATGTTTGACCATGAGGTCGATGAAGACGGACCAGAGGTCGGTGCGTTTCGGGTAGCTCGTCAGGACTTTGTCAAACATGGTGCGACCTTTCTCTGAATCACCATAACGGAACTCCAGCTGAGCGAACTTGGCGATCACATCCACACCTGAGAGGAAGCACGACAATACACAAAAGGTTAAGACCTGTGGAGATACACAGCTGGGACGGGGGAAGCAGAGCCTGAACGGTTACACACACACACACACACACACACACACACACACACACACACACACA